TATACAGTTCATTTCAGTACTTTTACACCGTTATTGTGGTGTTTTTCACTAGATCCCTTTATTATACATATAATCGCTGCATACGTGTTTACTATTTACCACAGGATTTAGGGGTTCTATTTTTTGTGCCAGCAGCTCGTTTATGTTTTGTGCGCTCACCTATACTCATTTGATTTAAATGTTTCCTTTTAATTTGTTTCCCGAGATAAAAGAAACAAAGTATCCTTTAGCTCCGGGGAAAATTACAGGGGGTGTAATCCCCACAGCAAAGTATTGCGGCCGTATGTGTGCACCCCCACCTGCCGTCTCTGCAGCTAAAGGGGGTAGCGGTAGGGAAGGGAGCCAGTAAAAGTGTGGCTCAGCCACGGGCTTTTATAGACACTCTCAATCACACGCCCTGGTTCACACAAGTGTGGCTTTGAAGCCAACTATTCAGTGAGACTTTCTGATACTGCGACTTCATTTAGCAGGTGTTACTACAAGTCACAAAAAATAGCGCAGGAACCTTTTTCAAAGTCACTGCAACTCGAGTCGCACCGATGTGAATGGTTCCTTTCCCAGTAATGGGGTGCCACTTGCCGTGTGAATTTGAACCCACAAGTCGTATTGGTGTGAACCACGGCTTAGCCAGACAGAGAAGTTGCATGGAATCATGCATTGAGGTGTCCCTGCACGGTTTTATTTTCCCGGGTTGGGATGGGCTCCAAGGACTCATCAGTGGCTTAACCATTTCCAGTCCGGACACTTTCACCCCCTTCCTGTCCAGGATAATTTTCAGCTTTCAGCGCTATCACACTTTGAATGACACTTTCTTGTCTTCCCCCCCCCCCCCCCCAGCCCGGACACCACCCCCATTGATTTCTCTCCGTCACATCCAACAATGCTACCATCAAAACCCGCCCTGCAGGCCAGAGTACTGGGTGTCATTCTGGACTCCAACCTATCCTTCCAGCCCCAAGTCCAATCTTTAACAAACTCATGCAGACTCCACCTCCGCAACATCGCCAAAATCCGCACGTTCCTAACCCCAGAAACCACTAAACAGCTCATCCACTCCCTCATCATATCACGACTCGACTACTGCAACTCCCTCCTCACTGGCCTGCCTCGCCGCTGGCTATCCCCGCTTCAGTCCATCCTGAACACGGCTGCCAGACTCATTCACCTTTCCAACCGCTCTGTCTCCGCCACCCCCCCCCCAATCCCTCCACTGGCCTCCACTCAGTGTCCTCCACCCCCCTCTGCCAATCCCTCCACTGGCTTCGATTGCGCAACGGATCAAATTCAAAATCCTAACGCTGACGTACAAAGCTGTCCACCATACTGCCCCGAACTACATCACTGACCTAATATCCAAGTACCACCCAACACGCACACTCCGCTCCTCACAAGACCTCCTTCTCTCTAGTTCCCTGGTCTCCTCCTCCCATGCCCGCCTCCAGGACTTCTCCAGGGTGTCACCCATCCTCTGGAACTCCCTGCCCCAACCCATCAGATTATCACCTACTCTCCTCTCCTTTAGGCGCACCCTGAAAACCCATCTCTTCAGGGAAGCCTACCCCACCCCCTGCTAACTTGCCGACCTCCTCCACTCTTCCTACCACTCCATCCCCCACAGCTATCTCCTCCTGTGCCACCACCCCCTCCCTCCTAGATTGTAAGCTCGAAAGAGCAGGGCCCTCGATCCCCTCATGTTTTGCATTGTATTGGTATTGTTCTGTCACATGTTCTGTCCCCTTTGTAATGTACAGCGCTGAGCGAACTATTGGCGCTTTATAAATACTGTATAATAATAATAATAATGACAATTGCGCGGTCATGCAACACTGCACCCATATTAATTTTTTAGCATTTTTTTTTTTAGTTTTTAGACCGATAAAGCTTTATTTTGGTGGTATTTATTCACCACTGGGATTTTTTATTTTTTTTTTTTGCTATATAAATGAAAAAGTCCAAAAATTTTGAAAAAAAAGTTTTTCTTCTAAAAATTTGCAAATAAATAATATTTCATCATAAATCTTGTCCAAAATTTATGCAGTTATCTTTTAAGTAAAAAAACAAAAAATAAGTTAGTTTATAATCAAAAATTATAATTAAAAAAATTTTTTTTTTTTTACACTTTTATTTGTTTTTTGGTTTTTTTTACATACTGTCACTCTAGCAGTACTACTCGTGGGGGGTGATGACATTTATTTTTTTTGTTTTTTTTTACACCGATTGCTTTTGTGGGGAAATATGAGCTAGGGCTATTGATTCATACCATTTTGTATTCATTATGCTTGCATTGTGATAAGAGTAAGGCTGGCCATACATATTATTATCTGCATTTATTTTTGGTTTAGATTTAAAAAACCATATAATAGGAGGACAAACCTTACTTTCAGTTGTATCCAATTAGGCAGGGCCTTTGCACTACACAGTTGAAGGTAAATCTAAAGGAAATTGGGCAGAAATCTGCAGATAACGATGTATGGCCAGCCTCTAGAATGTTTTAAGTATGATGAAATTACGATGTCTGAAGTAAATGATATAAGAAATGTCAGCAGTATTTTCAAAGCTTATATGGAAAATTTTAATATGTGTATGTATGTAACGGGTACAACCGCAAATGTAACAGGAAGAACGCTAGACTGCAGATGTCTGCAAAATATCTTAGAAAACATAGATACTCAGATAAGAGATCTGGGGACACAGCCAAAAAAGGCAGGATGTACTGACTGAGGGGTGAACAGTTTAGTGAAAGGTGAACCTCGTCTAGTATCTGGGTAAAAGTAAAAGGTACGCTTTGCTATTGGATAAGTTAGGTTTACTTTGCTATTGGATAATTTGGGTTTTGTCTTACTATTGGATAATTTGGGTTTTGTCCTTACTATTGGATAATTTGGGTTTTGTCTTACTATTGGATAATTTGGGTTTTGTCTTACTGGATATTTATTGGATAATTTTGGGGTTTTGTCTTACTATTGGATAATTTTGGGTTTTGTCTTTCTATTGGATAATTTTTGGGTTTTGTCTTACTATTGGATAATTTGGGTTTTGTCTTGCTATTGGATAATTTGAGTTTTGTCTTACTATTGGATAATTTGGGTTTTGTCTTGCTATTGGATAATTTGGGTTTTTTCTTACTATTGGATAATTTGGGTTTTGTCTTACTATTGGATAATTTGGGTTTTGTCTTACTATTGGATAATTTGGGTTTTTGTCTTACTATTGGATAATTTGGGTTTTGTCTTACTATTGGATAATTTTGGGTTTTGTTCTTACTATTGGATAATTTGGGTTTTGTCTTACTATTGGATAATTAGGTTTTGTCTTACTATTGGATAATTTGGGTTTGTCTTACTATTGGATAATTTGGGTGTCTTACCATTGGATAATTTGGGTTTTGTCTTACTATTGGATAATTTGGGTTTTGTCTTACTATTAAATAATTTTGGGTTTTGTCTTACTATTGGATAATTTTGGGTTTTGTCTTACTATTGGATAATTTTGGGTTTTGTCTTACTATTGGATAATTTTTTGGGTTTTGTCTTACTATTGGATAATTTTTGGGTTTTGTCTTACTATTGGATAATTTTGGGTTTTGTCTTACTATTGGATAATTTTGGGTTTTGTCTTACTATTGGATAATTTTGGATAATTTTGGGTTTTTCTTACTATTGGATAATTTTGGGTTTTGTCTTTCTATTGGATAATTTGGGTTTTGTCTTGCTATTGGATAATTTGGGTTTTGTCTTACTATTGGATAATTTGGGTTTTGTCTTGCTATTGGATAATTTGGGTTTTGTCTTTTCTATTGGATAATTTGGGTTTTGTCTTGCTATTGGATAATTTGGGTTTTGTCTTACTATTGGATAATTTGGGTTTTGTCTTGCTATTGGATAATTTGGGTTTTGTCTTACTATTGGATAATTTGGGTTTTGTCTTACTATTGGATAATTTGGGTTTTGTCTTACTATTGGATAATTTGGTTTTGTCTTACTATTGGATAATTTGGGTTTTGTCTTGCTATTGGATAATTTGGGTTTTGTCTTACTATTGGATAATTTTGGGTTTTGTCTTACTATTGGATAATTTGGGTTTTGTCTTACTATTGGATAATTTGGGTTTTGTCTTACTATTGGATAATTTGGGTTTTGTCTTACTATTAAATAATTTTGGGTTTTGTCTTACTATTGGATAATTTTGGGTTTTGTCTTACTATTGGATAATTTTGGGTTTTGTCTTACTATTGGATAATTTGGGTTTTGTCTTACTATTGGATTTTTTGGGTTTGTGGTTTTTACCTTTATAAACTGTAATGTACGTAATAAACTTTGCAATCTTCCTGTATCCTACTTGAGTGTTGGTTACTTTGATTGCCCGATCGAGCCCGTGCCACACCCAGACGCTGCGCAGCACAAAGACAATATAAGAAATAAGGATTCCAGGAAAGGGGGAATACCTTACAGCTTTTACACCCATAAAGCCTGTAAAAGCAATCATTTCTCTTTCTCTCTGGCTGCATTCTTGCAGCCATTGAGAAATACTGTGTGAGATGTGATTGGTTACAGCTTGTCACATGGTACAAGGCTGTTGTGAATAGCCCTGTACCATGTGACCTCTGTGATCATCCACAGATTTCATACGTAGTAAGCAATGATGTCAGAAGTGACATCTTGCTTACTACTCTGCATGTGATCACAGATTGGCCAATCAGTGATCACATGATCGGGACCTCGCACAGAGGTCCCGTACGACGTTCGGTGTTCCACTGTGTCCTACAGACACAGTGGGCACCGGATTGCTGTGCTGTGCGCGCGCTCCCAGGGAGCATGCACAAGCAGGGGGCAGGGAGGCCATTTCTAAACGGCCACCCATCCCTGCACTACTCCTGTCCAGCCGTTTATATACATGGGCCGGACGGGAGGTGGTTTAAACAAAATTTGTATTAGAATCCTGAATTCACGTTTTTAAATCCAAATGTTTGTTGTGGAAATTTTAATAATGTGTCTAACACTTTCCTGTATCCACCAATCAGGAAGGAGCGCCCTATCTCTCTGGGTATTTTCCCCCTCTCTCCCGGAGACTCTCTGGTGTTACCGGACACTCGTGGTGCCGAGACCCCCGGAAATGGCCCCTGGAAGGTGCAGGAACAGAACCACGCACGCTGCAACACCAGCTTAAAGGTACAGAACGCTATCCTAATGTACAAATAGAGGAGGCAGTTGGGGGATGGTAAAAAAAAAAAAAAAAGATTGCATGTGCACATGACTTAGGGTGGTCTGCGTGCAAATGCAGTTTGCCGAGGAACTGCCCTCCAGACTGACACCCACCCACCAAGGCATTTGGATATTTGCATAGCACCTCCTGCTTGTATCAGGGCTGAGAGCTCTTGTGACAGAGTACTGAGGCAGGGGGGGCTGTGATGTTTTCAAGAAGCCCCTCCCACCATTAATGATCTGCCTGCATTGTATAGAGAGGAATGAAGACCAGTGATGACATCACTGGGTCCAAAATATGGTAATGAAAAGTTAAAGTGGAGCTGCACTGCGTCTGAGCACCACAAACCAGAAATGCCATTTCATTCATTTTTCATATTCAAAGCAAACTTGCCTATCCACCTGTGTCTCTATGCTTTCTTTTGCTGAGAAATCATTTTCAAAAACGCCCCCTAGTATTTCTGGCAGTGGCCATCTTGAGTAAGGGCAGATAAGTCATGTAGCATTTACTTCCTGGAATCCATCTGCCCTTAGCTCAGGCATAGGAACACCCATGAAAACACCCCCCAGTATTTCTGGCAGTGGCCATCTTGAGTAAGGAATAATATAAATGATGACGCGCTCAACTTATATCCTTCAAAATTATAATCAGTATAGTGCAAAAACCCTCATGTAAATTATACACCCCCTAGTGGTAAATAGTGATATCCAACAGAATAACAAAATGACAATTGAACTGTGCAAAGTGACAAATATTAAACAAAGTAAAATGTAAGATAAATCCATCTTAGCTTCATCATGGCAGCGCCTGTTAGCGGAAATACGTCTGAAGATCCTGAAGAAGCCACGTGATCGTGGCGCAACGCGTCGACGTATTTCCGGTCATAGGGGTGACGTACTTCCGGTTCCGGGTTCGGACGCCATCTTGGTACACCTGAGTATACCCATAGCACATGGGAACTGCTTTTCTTTGTTGGAGTACATGTGAGTGCGTTTCTTGTTACTTTACCTTGTGTGCATTAAAGCAGTGTTGCACTATGGAGGTCTGCTCTTCTCTTGCATATGCGCCCTTTGTATGAGGGAAGGTATTTTGAGAGGAACCCATAACTTGGAGGAGGATCTTGATGTAAGTCGGTGGAGGCAGTGGAGTATCAATATCCTGGCAGAGATATATATTATATATATAAAGCCTTGTGACCCGCAAGGGTCGAATATTGAAGGTGAGGGGGGCATTTTGGCCATTTATAAGGAGAGTCACGAAGAGCACAAATGGCAGCATGGAGTGAAATTATTACCACAGTGTACTGAACACTTTTATTATTTTACACAGTGTGGCATCACTAATAATAATTTTTTGGGATTTATCTTGCATTTTACTTTGTTTAATATTTGTCACTTTGCACAGTTCAATTGTCATTTTGTTGTTCTGTTGGATATCACTATTTACCACTAGGGGGTGTATAATTTTACATGAGGGTTTTTGCACTATACTGATTATAATTTTGAAGGATATAAGTTGAGCGCTTCATCATTTATATTATTTGTTGACACATATCTGGAGGTATAAAGATTAGGTGATAGCAGCTTACTTTTTTGATCACTAGGTTCTGTGGAGCGCAGGGGGATTTTCATATAGACATCTTGAGTAAGGGCAGATGATTCATGTACCATTTACTTCCTGGAATCCATCTGCTTTTAAGCTCAGGCATAAGAACATCCATAAAAACACCCCGTAGTATTTCTAGCAGTGACCACCTTGAGTAAGGACAGGTGATTCATGTAGCATTTACTTCCTGGAATCCATCTGCCCTTAGCTCAGGCATAAGAACACCATAAAAACACCCCCTAGTATTTCTGGCATAAGAACACCCATAAAAACGCCCCCTAGTATTTCTAACAGTGGCCATCTTGAGAAAGGGCAGATGATTCATGTATAATTTACTTCTTGGAATCCATCTGTCCTTAGCTCAGGCATAAGAACCCCCATAAAAACGCGCCCTAGTATTTTCCGGCAGTGGCCATCTTGAGTAAGGGCAGATAATTCATGTAGCATTTACTTCCTGGAATCCATCTGGCCTTAGCTCAGGCATAACACCCATGAAAACACCCCCCAGTATTTCTGGCAGTGGCCATCTTGAGTAAGGGCAAATGATTCATGTACCATTTACTTCCTGGAATCCATCTGCCCTTAGCTCAAGCACATGACCAGTGAAGGTTCCCAGGAGACTGCGGGAGGAAAGAAAAGGCCGAATTTCCAGCTTAGTTCGCTACGGGCTCCTGTCAAAACCAGGTACCCGCCCCCCCCCCAACAGGTGCCACATATGGCAATGGAGGGGGAGGAGGCAAACAAGCGGTGGGTGGAAGGTGACTTTAAGAATGTTATTAGCATGTTGATTGGACCGGAGGAACCAGGGAAGGCAAAATATTGGCAGATCAAACAAAGTGGTTGTAAACCCTTACATATACACAGAAAAGTGACTTGCCTCAGTTGATACACAGAGATGAAACCAATCCTCCTAAATAGGTTGTATCTGTTTATCTGCAGCCGTCTTTCCCCTATGTCTATTGAAAGTCCAGAATTTACACAGGATCTCTCCGCTCTGAAAAGCAGGGGGCAGGGAGCTGAAGTTACATCAATGAGAAGAGCTCTGAGAGCTGATTGGAGGGAAGGGACACCCCCCCCCCCCCCCACAGGAACAGAGCTTATGCTGTCAGTCACAGGCAGTGCGCTATCCTGTCACCATTTTTTTTTTTCTTGGTGTCAGGAAAACTCCTCAGCAGTGACCTTGGGTGATACACAGAGATTAAACAAATCCTCCTACATATAAGTTGTACCTTGTATCTGCAGCCATCTCTTCTCTACATCTGTTCAAAGTGCTGAATTTGTAAAGCTTGTCTGAGTTGAGAAAATGGGGTGGAGAACTGAAATTACACTCTGCAGAGCTCAGCGAGGAGAGCTCTGAGAGCTGATTGGAAGGAAGCAACACATCCCTTTCACACAGCACACAGGAACAAAGCTAAGGTTGTCAATCAACTGGAGGTCCCTCCCCGTCACCTTGTTTCTCTTGGTGTCAGGAAAACGTTTCAGAAGTGACTCATGCTTATAGCAGGGGAAGGAAGCAGCAGAAAGAAATGATACTTAATACTCTGGATTGAGACAAGTACACACTATAGAGAGATATGCTTTCTTCATATTTTCAGATCTGATATTTACAACTACTTTACGCTTTCCATAACTTTCATTCATTTATTGGTGTGGTCAACCAAGGCAGGAGTATTTTGAAAATGCTTGTCTCCTTGTTTCTGTAATTGACTCACTGCATGTCCCTGGTCTCTGCACAGGATGCAATCTAGGACTTTCTGGTTATTTGTGTAATGGTCCATTCTGCATGTTATCCTCACATGATGTAGTTCTCTGACTGTCCCACCTCTGATTTTTCAGGATGAGCTGATGAATCTCAGCCAAACTGGGAGCAAAACCGGGAGCTCTGGAGCCGACAACATGGTGCATGCAACGTCCAAAGATCAGAAGGATGAGGTGATCATGAGGGCCAACCTTCAGAACAACAACGTACAGAGGAATCGGAAAAAAAACGAGGACGTCCAGGTCAACCAGGAGATGACTTCTGCCTCTACAGGTAAGCTGCTAGAGATTTTTCCAAAACTGCTGGGACCATCTTGGTGGAAGATAGACATGACCAACCCTATGGTTCCCATAATCCCTAGTAGCTGAAACATGGCACTGTTTATTGACACGACTGTCCTGCAGGGGGTAAAACTGGAAGAGCCAAGATGACCTCTCTGTCTGCCTTGTCTCCCATAATCCCTGGTACCATGGTCCTTCTGATTTGTAGTCCTATGACCTGTAAGGTTAAAGCTTTTGAGCCATTAAGACGTGTGTATTGAGGGTCCGGCTTTTTCTACACGTCGTTGCGAGTGTAGAGCGGGAGAGAAGGTAACTGCGCACCTTTCCTCCCATGGGCTACAGCCCTACAAAATGAGAACTTCTTATCTAAGCTTTCCTAATCACAGTGAATGACCCCCAATGGCACTATTTTGTACCCGAGGCACTGCGCTATAGCGCCATGAGAAACCTCAAGGTCATGGCGGACGTAGAAGTCAAGCCTTCTTGTGGCGTCTGTGGTGCAATTACCGGCTGATTTATTTATGGTCTCCTTCCTCTAATGGATTGCGGTGTTTGCAGTAGGCATCGATTTACGTCTTTGTAATGGATACTGCGGAGAGAAGGCTCTGCGTTTTTATGTGCTGTGTTTCCTGCTGAGCAGACAAAGGCTCCCCAGACAGACACAGGCTGAGTTTATGTTCTGACTTGTGATGGTGAGCGGGGATTATTCATCATCGGCTCAGTCTGGGAACAAAGTAAGGTAATAAAGATGTCACCAAAGCAGTATTTTCCCTATAGTAGCATTACGGAGCTCCAATACCATGTGAGGAAGAGACAAACCTGCATATGGGATGGAAATGTTGGGGAACCTCTTGCTTGTACATGGGCAGAAATCCACATTTTGTCTCTTGTGTATGTCCAGTGAACCTCTGCATGTCTTAGCTCAGGGGTGGGCAAACTTTTTGACTTGAGGGCCGCAATGGGTTCATATATTGGACCCGGGGGCCGGACCAAGAGTAGATGAATGATGTGTATGTGTCATCCATAGTAAGTATAGTAATCCCCCATAGTAAGCATAGTAATTAATCCCCCATATAGTAATTCATCCCCCATAGTGTAATTCATCCCCCATAGTGTAATTCATCCCCCATAGTGTAATTCATCCCCCATATAGTAATTCATCCCCCCTATAGTAATTCATCCCCCCTATAGTAATTCATCCCCCCTATAGTAATTCATCCCCGCTATAGTAATTCATCCCCGCTATAGTAATTCATCCCCCATATAGTAATTCATCCCCCATATAGTAATTAATTCCCCATATTAAGTCCCCAAGTCCCCCCTGTGTCAATTCACTTACCTTTGCTCCGCGCGTTCCTCTCGTCGTGTTCCCGCGCCGTTCCGGTGTAGCATGAAAATCTGTCTCCTACAGAGGGGGACAGATCCTCATAGGAGACAGATTTTCATGCTACACCGGTCTTCATGGCGGACTGTGAGAGGAGCCTAGCTCCGCTGGCCGGATTAAAAGGTCCGCCGGGGCCGGATTAAAAGGTCGAATTTCCAGCTTAGTTCGCTACGTAGTTTGCCCATTGCTGTCTTAGCTGGGCAAATATGAACTAGGAAAAATTAAATGCCAACATGATGTAATGCAGACCTTTACTAGCTATTGCCCCTAGGCTGGACTTAGGCAGTTAGTTTATGAGGGTGTTCCATACTGTTCTGCAGGTTAGCTGCTGTCTAATTGCAGGAAAATTGATGAATCAGCTCATAGTTTAAAAAATATCATTTTTCGGTGATGCTCTTCTGTAGGTTGTCTTATATAAGCATAAATCCAGATGTAACTCTGGATTCTGAACTATCCTTTCAGGCCCACATCCAATCCTTGTCCAAATTATGCCACCTCAACCTCCGCAACATCTCCAGAATATGCCCCTTTTTAACCAATGACACCACAAAGCTCCTGATTCATTCCCTGGTTATCTCTCACCTTGACTACTGCAACTCCCTCCTCATTGGCTTACCTTTATATAAGCCACTCCCCCTCCAGTCCATCATGAATACTGCTGCCAGGCTCATCCACCTTACCAACCATTCAGTGTCCTCCACCCCTCTCTGCCAATCCCTCCACTGGCTTCCATTCAGTGTCCTCCACCCCCCTCTGCCAATCCTCCAGTAGCTTCCATTCAGTGTCCTCCACCCCTCTCTGCCAATCCCTCCACTGGCTTTCACTCGCCAAATGAATAAAATTCAAAATGCTAACAACCTACAAAGCCATCCACAACTCTGCCCACAGCTACATCACCAACCTGGTCTCAATATCAACCAAGCCGCTCTCTCTTCGATCCTACTAAGACATTCTGCTCTCTAGTTCCCATGTCACCTCCTCCGATGCTCGCATCCAGGACTTCTCCCGAGCTTCTCCCATCCTATGGAACTCCCTACCCCAATCTGTCCGGCTGTTTTCTAATCTATCCACCTTTAAACGATCCCTGAAAACCTTTCTCTTTAAAGAAGCCTATCCTGCTTCTACCTAGTAAACCGCCATTTATTTCCTCCATCAGCTCATCCCCCCACAGCTATTACCTTTTTGTATCACTCAACCCTTCCTCCTAGATTGTAAGCTCCCAGGAGCCGGGCCCTCTGTTTCCTCTTGTACCAAATTGTATTGTAACTGTAATGTCTGCCTTCATTTTGTAAAGCGCTGAGCAAACTGTTGGCGCTATATAAATCCTGTATTATAATAATAAAAAATAAAAGCAAAACTTCCTTGACTGCATCCAACACAGGCCGATGTATGTATTCTATTCATTTTTCATATTCCTATGTAAATCAAGTTGATTAATATGTATTAGTCACTCTTATTCAGTCTGCACAGGTTTTTTTTGTTTTGTTTTTTTTTGTTTTTTTAATTTTCAAAAACAAAACCTGATAAGTGTACAAAAAAAAATGCACTTAGGGGTGTGCTTTTAGTGCACCCCCTGAAGGGGTAGGACCTGTACCCTGATCCCCCGGGGCACAAGGCTCCTGACTGGGACAAAGGTTTTCAACATGGTTCTGAAGAGAGACTCCCTCACCAAGGGTTGGGGGAGGAAGGAACCTAAGGGCCACGCATCTTCCACCTAGACGTCAGGGCAGACCCAAGGACCCACACCCTCCGTCCAGTGAGGGAAAAAAACACACACAAAAGTGACAAAACAGTGGAGAAAAATAAATAAGTGGCCATGCAATTGTACACTGGCTAGGCCCTGAGGCCCGTAGCAAAAGCATTGCCCTGGATGCAATGCAGAAAAAGTGTTTAGAACAGTGACCATGCTGCCTTTTGGCTAAGATCAAGTGCAGTATCTGTTCTTCTCAGTGTCCAGTAGGGGCGCTCCGCCATCATTCTTGCCTTTTGGCGAGGATGGTTGGCTGTATAGCACCCCTGCTGGTGTGATGGGGGCTCTGAAGGCCAGTACAGGCTGGAAGAGAAACCGTGGCGCCCACAGGTTGTTGGGGTCCCGGGAGGAATTTAATTTGGGAAAACCGGAGGGACTCAGTTCCTCCTGATCTGTCTGGCCAGGGGCCGGGGAGGCAGAGAGTCCACGGAGCAGTGCCCCCTGGGAGTGGTCGCCCCAGGGGTGCTCTTAGTAATTCAGGAGGTGGGATCCCAGATGTGAAAAGTGCACATGGTCGATGTGCATAGGACATTGCCTAACAAAGAGCAATTCCTTCAGAGCAGAAACCGGTCATAATCATCCCCGTTCTGTACTATTGGATTATTGAGCACACTTTGGGGTGACTTGTACTCACCTATATTATAGGTAGTTAATAAGAGGTTGTTAATTAAGTTATCGTGTCACCCAATGTTTGGTTTCCATTCAGTAGCCAAAAAAGGCATTCAAAAAAGGGGGGTTTGTGAAAAGAGATTCACAGAAAAGCGGCTACATTATGAATAGACCGTGACACTCAGAAAATTTTCCAAAAATTATGCTTTATTACACAGATATAAATATGACATATGGGCATTCGCCCTGGTTTACCATCACCTCAGTATGAGACAATAACACACAGACCTAAAACCATATAAAATGACATCAAGACCGGTCTAAATGTATGTGTAACAGAAAAAGTGACTGCAAGAGTCTAATATCTCTGTAGTACAAACACATAGGTAAACACTTCCCTAAAGAGGTGTATCCAAAAATTATACCATAGGTATACCATAATATTAAATAATGAATTTACACCAATATCATAATGGTGAGTCCCGGACAGGGAATCCAAAAATTATACTATGGATATACGTATATCACATGTATGAAATGCAGTAAGCACAATAAGCGTAAAGAGGGGAACAATAAGCCTCAGGCCTGTTTGGAAAAAGACATAAATGTCAAATATATGATGCAATACATTCCTGTGCCGGCACACGTGGTTGGGGCCCGTTCATCTGTTATGTGAACAGCTGTATCATAAAGCTCTTGAATGGAAATAAGCCCCATTTATTCCCAGGATGGGAGAAAAGGTGCAGATTGCAGCACTCTGCTTGAAATGGTGTCTTCACCACTGTGTGTGGACTACACACCACCCTTTGTAGGAAAAGCAAGACATATCCCAAGGAATCTTCTGCCTGTTGAGCTATATGCGGTATGTCCTGTATCCTACACAAAGCACCATAATGTCCCCATCCTGTAGTGAAACAAATAATGTGGGAAGTCACTGACAGAGCTTGCACTCAATAAGATATGTAGGTCATATTGATCACAGAGGACCGTATATCTAATGTCCTGTAACTATCCACTCACCACCTGTGCCGTGGATAAAGGGAATGAAAGAAATGTCCTTCATGGATATTGCCAAACACGGCCACAGAGGCCCAGGAACCACCGCTGACATCCGCCGATATACCGCGGGTTCCAGCCCCCTCTCAGCGCCTGTGCTGCTCACGCTTGCCTCATGGCATGTGAAGATGGCTTCCTCCTTATGGGTCAGCGTGCGTTCCACCTAGTGCGCATGACCGGAAGTGACGTATCTGACGTATGACGTCAACGCGTTTCGCCGATGGGCGTATCTCACTCAGCTTCGTCAGGACCAATATCGGCGGATGTCAGCGGTGGTTCCTGGGCCTCTGTGGCCGTGTTTGGCAATATCCATGAAGGACATTTCTTTCATTCCCTTTATCCACGGCACAGGTGGTGAGTGGATAGTTACAGGACATTAGATATACGGTCCTCTGTGATCAATATGACCTACATATCTTATTGAGTGCAAGCTCTGTCAGTGACTTCCCACATTATTTGTTTCACTACAGGATGGGGACATTATGGTGCTTTGTGTAGGATACAGGACATACCGCATATAGCTCAACAGGCAGAAGATTCCTTGGGATATGTCTTGCTTTCCCTACAAAGGGTGGTGTGTAGTCCACACACAGTGGTGAAGACACCATTTCAAGCAGAGTGCTGCAATCTGCACCTTTTCTCCCATCCTGGGAATAAATGGGGCTTATTTCCATTCAAGAGCTTTATGATACAGCTGTTCACATAACAGATGAACGGGCCCCAACCACGTGTGCCGGCACAGGAATGTATTGCATCATATATTTGACATTTATGTCTTTTTCCAAACAGGCCTGAGGCTTATTGTTCCCCTCTTTACGCTTATTGTGCTTACTGCATTTCATACATGTGATATACGTATATCCATAGTATAATTTTTGGATTCCCTGTCCGGGACTCACCATTATGATATTGGTGTAAATTCATTATTTAATATTATGGTATACCTATGGTATAATTTTTGGATACACCTCTTTAGGGAAGTGTTTACCTATGTGTTTGTACTACAGAGATATTAGACTCTTGCAGTCACTTTTTCTGTTACACATACATTTAGACCGGTCTTGATGTCATTTTATATGGTTTTAGGTCTGTGTGTTATTGTCTCATACTGAGGTGATGGTAAACCAGGGCGAATGCCCATATGTCATATTTATATCTGTGTAATAAAGCATAATTTTTGGAAAATTTTCTGAGTGTCACGGTCTATTCATAATGTAGCCGCTTTTCTGTGAATCTCTTTTCACAAACCCCCCTTTTTTGAATGACTTGTACTCACCCCCTTTATTTTGCCTCTTCGATTACTTTTAGTCTACATATTTCACAAAGCACTATTGTACTTTTTCTTCCTTTTTGAAAATGCAATACAAACGACTGAAAAGAGAAACAGGTCGGAATTTGCAACAAAGTTAAAATTCCTGCAGTGTACATAGAGCACCCAGAGGAGAATGGTTTTCTCAACAAAAGTGGGTAGACTTTTGAAAAAGCCTAAGTAAAGTGTGGAGAGGAGGATTATAGGAAAAGTATAGAAACAACTGCAGCATACACAGGTCTATCCACAAGTCCTATATCAGAAGTGTATATTTAGGAAAATTCCAATTGATTTATTTTTCTTTTTCAGACACCAATGACAATGAGGAGAAATCAGAGGTACAGTCTATTATCGAGTCCACTCCAGAGCTGGACATGGATAAGGATCCAAAAGCCTATCAGATGACCAGGTAAGGCCTCACCTAGGACAGCAGTATAGACCAGTTTTTATTTCAGAGGAACCCCTAAAACCACTTTCAGGTCTCTGGGAACCCCTACTGCTAACCAGACCATTGGGGTTTGGTCAACTGCAAAATTGTTTCTTATATTGGTGGTCAAAGGGAAGACTGCTCCTCTTACACAGGTTGTTAGAACTTCTTCACAGACAGCTAAAACGATAATTGGTGTCATGTCGCTGACTTTTGCCAAGTGATATTGGTCCTGGAACTGTGCAGGCACCATCAGATGGAATTTGAATCTGCCACAGCTCAAGGAAACCCTAGCAACCTCTGAAGGAACCTTAGTTGAGTATCTCTTGTATAGGTTGTTGGCGGTTGGGGTGTTTTCAGACTCATCTCTAAGCTCTGTGCAGGATTAACATTGACTGTAGTGACCTTGATTGATAATACAAGCAGCGCCCCCCCTTCTGCCGCTTTCCGTGGCCTTAATGGGAGCTTCTGCACCACCTGGAGTCCCAAACAACCTGCCACCAAACTGGATCTGCTTTGTTCGGCTCCATTAAATAGAAAACTGGAAGAGATGACCTGACATCACTTCCGGTTTACTCGGAAGTTCGCTGCGCCATATTTAAAAAATGAAGGCATTCAGTCACACTGATCTTGGTGTTTTGAATGTTTTTATCATGTCGGTTTATCACTGGTTATTTCATTTTTGTATGTTGTCCTCTTGGGACTATAAAAGAACCCAAAGTCTAGCCACTTCAGTTGGGGTATGTCGCTGGTGTTTGAGTCGTCGTACCGAGACGATGCCTACAGCTGCAGTCATCATCCCAGTACCAGTATTCAGAGCCGATGGTCGGCTTTTCTTGCAATAGTAATTGGAGTGGCTAACTAGCCGCTCGATTGATAATACAAGCAGCGTCCCCCCTTCTGCCGCTTTCCGTGGCCTTAATGGGAGCTTCTGCACCACCTGGAGTCCCAAACAACCTGCCACCAAACTGGATCTGCTTTGTTCGGCTCCTTTAAATAGAAAACTGGAAGAGATGACCTGACACTACTTCCAGTTTACTCGGAAGTTCACCGCGCCATATTTAAAAAATGAAGGCATTCAGTCACACTGATCTTGGTGTTTTGAATGGTTTTATCATGTCGGTTTATCACTAGTTATTTCATTTTTGTATGTTGTGCAGCATCCTCTTGGGACTATAAAAGAACCCATAGTTTAGTCACTTCAGTTGGGGTATGTCGCTGGTGTTTGAGTCGTTGTACCGAGAAGATGCCTACAGCTGCAGTCATCATCCCAAGTACCAGTATTCAGAGCCGATGGTCGGCTTTTCTTGCAATAGTAAGGAGCCGTTCGATTGATAATACAAGCAGCGTCCCCCCCTTCTGCCGCTTTCCGGGAGCTTCTGCCTCACTAGGAATCCCAAGCAACCTGCCACCAAACTGGATCGGCTTTGTTCGACTCCGTTAAATAGAAAACTGGAAGAGATAGCCTGACACCACTTCCGTTTTACTTGGAAGTTCACCGCGCCATATTTATAAAAATGAAGGCATTCAGTCACACTGATCTTGGTGTTTTGAATGTTTTTAAGGGCAGAGGAGAGATTTGGGGTCTCACTGACCACAGATCCCTCCATAAAATGTACCTGTCACAGGCCTATTGCTGTCACAAGGGGTATGTACGTTCTTTGTGACCGCACTAAAAGTGATCCAAAAAAAGTTAAAGCAACAGTGTAAAAAAAAAAAAAAAATTAAAGTGCCCTTGTCCCCCTGTGTCTGGGCACAAAGGCGAATACACAGACGTTCCGCACGCATTCAGCCATCGGCCCACACGTGTGAAGTATTGCTGTGAACGGCAGATCATGGGCAGTAATTCTAGCCCCAGACCTTCTCTGTAGAAGTGGCAACCTGTTAAGGCTTTTAAAGCATCTCCTATCGATAGTACAATTTACATCGTTTGTTGCCGTTGCACAGGCGGGCGTAATTTTAAAAGCAGGACATGTTTGGTATCTATTTACTCACTGCAAAATCATCTTTTATAGTTTGCAAAAAAAAATTGGGTTACGCGTTGTTTTTTTTTTTTTTTCCCTCGAAAAATTGCATTTGAAAAACCGGTGCGCAAATACCGTGTGCCATAAAAAGTTGCAAAACCCTTTATTCTCTAGGGCCTCTGCTTTAAAAAAATGTATAATTTTGGGGGGTTCTAAGTAATTTTCTAGCAAAAACTACTGATTGTTGCATATAAATAAAAGTGTGCCAGAAAAGGCTTGCTCTGGAAGGGGCTAGCTAGTGATATTTTAAAGAATTGGTCATTTGATTCACTGTGTAGATGAATTTCAAACTTTTTCCTCTATGAAAAATGCACCTCACACATTGTCCAAACATACATACTATAGAGGAGCCAAGTCCTGCGCTTGACAGATTTGCTTCGAATGTAGGAACCAGCTAAAGAAAAGTTAGGAGCCAGTTTTACTTTAATTTTTTTTTTTTTTCAGCATATGATAGGTGTGTTGTCAGTGCCTGGGTCAGAGGCAACTTTTGGGCGACAAGCTTCACGCGATGCAGCTTTTTGCGCACGACAATCACGGCAGAACTGCACCACATTGGAAATAATTTCATCTGAACCTGTGTTTCGCGATTACAGCGATTTTGCCACAACCTCAAAACGCCCAGGTGTGAATGGAGTTGCCCTGTTTCACACGCATGCAATTCTGGTTGCATTTTCAAACTCATGACAGGCTATATTTTACGTGTTCCTATTGACATGGTTCACACAGATGAGATCCACACACACATTGTGTTTTGAGTGCCATTACAAAAAGGTTCCTGTGCGAGTTTGTAGCGGTGCTTTCCAGACTCGCAAGTGATAGACTGGCATGCGGAGAGAAGTGTTCACATAGGATTGCTGTTGACAGGAGTTCTTGCATTGAAGTCAATGGGAGGCAATGTGTCAACCCAGGCACCAGGATGCAATTTCTAGTCGCCATGCGACCTGGGGACTGGGATTTGTCGAGCCCTGGCCAAGTCCATTGATATGGTGAAGACCTGCTTTAAACTGAAAGTGGATACAAAGAAAAACAAGCAGAGGGCGCACCGGCCTAGTGCATTATCGTAAAAAATTGTATTGGCAGGATAAAAAATGTGTTTCGTACTCACAATAGGCAAACAGGTCAGAGGCACATCACACTAAACAGCGGTGTCCAATCCACACTGCATACAACTCCAAAAAAAATGGAACCCCGGACTTCCAACAGGCTAACGCATTTCAGGGTCTCAGCCTCTTCCTCAGAGCCACCTAAATGCGTTAGCCTGTTGGAAGTCCAGGGTTCCATTTGGTGGAATGTGGATTGAACACCCGCTGTTTAGTGTGATGTGCCTTTGACCTGTTTGCCTATTGTGAGTATGATACTTACTTTTTATCCTTCCAATAAATTTTTTACGATAATGCACTAGGCCGGTGCACCCTCTGTTTGTTTTTCTTTGTATCTAGTGACATTGGACTACCCCGGTCCATTGAGGGCAGCAAGGAGTGCGTTTTCCAGGATATCTGAGATGTTACCACAACCCGAGCCGAGTCCATCCCGACGCGCAGGAGTACAGAATTTGCTTTAAACTGAAAGTAGCTGACGACATGTTTTAATAGTCCAGCAGTTTGAAGACTAATATCAGTATAGATATTTGACCTGGTATAGATTGACCTGTTATAGATTGATGATCTCCTTCTTCTCTCAGTACTCCCACCAAAGGCATTGAGAATAAAGCCTTCGACCGCAACACTGACTCCCTATTCGAGGAGCTGTCGTCAGCAGGAACGGACCTCATCGGAGACGTGGATGAAGGGGCTGACCTGTTAGGTATGGCCATACTAAAGATCCTCTCCTGTATACTGTGTATGTTCCTTGGATAGGTGGCTTTGTTTGTAGATATTTTTCTATTTCTGAAATTGGGTTTAATGGGATCCTGTACAATGACCTTTTACAAGGTGAGGGTTCACCTATACCTTAAGCAACCAGTACAGTTTAAAATAGAAATGAAAGGCAAACATTTGTGTATAGATTTAAAAAAAAAAAAATTATAAATAACGTTTTCTTCTTATAAGAGATCATGTGACCTCTGTTTTCAGCTGCATAAGGGGCTTAGAGGAGAAGAATCAGCAGTACTCTGGTCTTCCCAGTGATTAGCTGTGCAGTGTGGCGTGTCAGCACAAGTCTGACCATTGGAGGACAGGCAGGCTGTTCTCCCAGCACAGCCAGAAAACTGACCACAAGTTTCCCTTCATAGCCTGGCCAGTTTGAAATGTAAAAGCAGGGGGACTGGCAAGATCACCAAGTATTTCACACATAGGAAGCAATACAAAGAAACTGGATACTTTCTGACACAAGTACATGGTATAACAAGCAGGTATCAGGAATATGAAATGTTGGGGTAACAAACACCTTGACCAGGCACAGCTGCGTATCTGTTCCGGACTGCAGGGAGAATTGACCGTCCCAAGCAATGCGTCCCTGTGGGAGATGTTCATTGGTGATCTCTGCTCCAGAAACAGCACTGATTCCTAGAGCCGGGTGCCTTGGCTGTGCCGGGTAAAACCAGCATGACAGGTTTCCTTTAACCTTCCTGTGACATAAACTATCCTCTGGATTTTCAACAATGTAGATCAAAATAAGATTTCTGAAGAAGTGAGATTCCAGTTGGGGGGGTGACACCTTCGGGTTACTTGTGGGAGGGGCAGAGACCCCAATTAGTACTAGGAAACCTCATTGTAGAAGGGGCAGAGACACAAACTACTGCAGGGAATCTTCCCACTGTGGGAGGAGCAGAGACACAAACTACTGCAGGAAATGTCCCCATTGTGGGAGGGGCAGAGACAAACTACTGCAGGGAAATCTCCCCATTGTGGGAGGGGCAGAGACACAAACTACTGCAGGGAATCTTCCCACTGTGGGAGGAGCAGAGACACAAACTACTGCAGGAAATGTCCCCATTGTGGGAGGGGCAGAGACAAACTACTGCAGGGAAATCTCCCCCATTGTGGGAGGGGCAGAGACACAAACTACTGCAGGGAAATCTCCCCATTGTGGGAGGAGCAGAGAGAAAAACTACTGCGGGGAAATCTCCCCATTGTGGAAGGTGCAGAGACACAAACTACTGCAGGGAATCTTCCCACTGTGGGAGGAGCAGAGACACAAACTACTGCAGGAAATGTCCCCATTGTGGGAGGGGCAGAGACAAACTACTGCAGGGAAATCTCCCCATTGTGGGAGGGGCAGAGACACAAACTACTGCAGGGAATCTTCCCACTGTGGGAGGAGCAGAGACACAAACTACTGCAGGAAATGTCCCCATTGTGGGGGGGGCAGAGACAAACTACTGCAGGGAAATCTCCCCATTGTGGGAGGGGCAGAGACACAAACTACTGCAGGGAAATCTCCCCATTGTGGGAGGAGCAGAGAGAAAAACTACTGCGGGGAAATCTCCCCATTGTGGAAGGGTGCAGAGACACAAACTACTGCAGGAAATGTCCCCATTGTGGGAGGAGCAGGGAAATCTCCCCATTGTGGGAGGGGCAGAGAGAAAAACTACTGCAGGGAAATCTCCCCATTGTGGAAGGTGCAGAGACACAAACTACTGCAGGAAATGTCCCCATTGTGGGAGGAGCAGGGAAATCTCCCCATTGTGGGAGGAGCAGAGACACAAACTACTGCGGGGAAATCTCCCCATTGTGGAAGGTGCAGAGACACAAACTACTGCAGGAAATGTCCCCATTGTGGGAGGAGCAGGGAAATCTCCCCATTGTGGGAGGGGCAGAGAGAAAAACTACTGCAGGGAAATCTCCCCATTGTGGAAGGTGCAGAGACACAAACTACTGCAGGAAATGTCCCCATTGTGGGAGGAGCAGGGAAATCTCCCCATTGTGGGAGGAGCAGAGACACAAACTACTGCAGGGAAATCTCCCCATTGTGGGGGGAGCAGAGACACAAACTACTGCAGGAAATCTCCCCATTGTGGGAGGGGCAGAGACACAAACTACTGCAGGAAAATCTCACCATTGTGGGAGGAGCAGAGACACAAACTACTGGTGGAAATCTCCTCATTGTGGGGGGAGCAGAGACACAAACTACTGCAGAGAAATCTCCCCATTGTGGGAGGGGCAGAGACACAAACTACTGCAGGAAATCTCCCCGTTGTGGGAGGGGCAGAGACACAAACTACTGCAGGAAATCTCCCCGTTGTGGGAGGGCAGAGACAAACTACTGCAGGAAATCTCCCCGTTGTGGGAGGGGCAGAGACCCAAACTACTGCAGGAAATCTCTCCATTGTGTCTATGCCCCTCCCGCAATGGGGAGATTTCCCTGCAGTAGTTTGTGTCTCTGCCCCTCCCACAATGGGGACATTTCCTGCAGTAGTTTGCATATTCGCCCCTTCTACAAAGATGAAATTTCTTAGTACTGATTGGGTTCTCTGCCCCCCCCCACAAGTAACACGAAGGTATCACTCCCAACTGGAATCTCGCTTCTTTAAAAATATTATTTTTTGTGTACATTGTTGAAAATCCAGCAGATAGTTTATGAAACAGGAAGGTTAACGGAAACCTGTCATGCGGGTTGGTGAGATTTATCTGCAGGAGTTTGTGCCTCTGCCCCTCCCACAACAGGGAAATTTCCCTGCAGTACTTCGCATCTTTGCCCCTTCTACAATGAATGAAGTTTTCTAGCAGTTTACCTGCAGGAGTTTGTTCTGCCTGCTGTGTAGTGATGATTGGTTTAATCTAGTTGGCAGTTCTCAGCCTCATGGAATAACACGACTGCAATAACCCCAACACGTTTACAATATTGTAAAGTAGTATAGATAGCGCCACGGAAAAAAAATATTAATAAATATACAAATCGCTGCAAATCCTAACCTATAAAAATAGGGTGCATAAATAGTGAAAAAACCAGGTTGCGCTAAATTAATTTACAAATAAAATCATAAATAAATCATATAAAGTCCAATCTTTTACAATATTGCCTTTCAGGAATGGGGCGAGAGGTGGAAAATCTTATCCTGGAGAACACCCAACTTCTGGAAACAAAGTACGTCCCCCTATAGGATTTCTTTTTCTCCTGTACAGTGTGCGATGTGTTCTTGGTAGAATATCTGTGTGCCGGGAGATTCCTAAAGCATCAGGATAGAAATTCGCTCTGCTGGATAAATGCCTTAAAAGAAAATGTCACTTTAATTTTTAAGGATAGTTACAGATTATCTTGCATAAGGACCCCCCCCCCCCCCCCCCCCACACACACACACACACACACACACACACACACACACACACACACACACACACACACACACACCATCCTCTGGCACTTACACATCACCCCTTCCATCAGAGCCCCCACTCGTTGGATCAGAATATGGAGGGTCATGTGACCTGCTCCCAGGTTGTTATGGTAGGACATCCAATATGAAGCACATACAGGGTTTGGAGTACATTGACAGAGGAAGCTCTCAGTGGGTAATGGGTTTGCGAAATGTAACTTTACCTTGAAACAGCAACTGTCTGGAATCTTTGGACCTCCCACATGTACCCCCCCAATATTTTGACCCATCTTCATCATGTGATCAATTCCAGGAACGCCCTGAATGTGGTGAAAAATGATCTGATCGCCAAGCTGGATGAGCTGATGTGCGAGAAGGACGTCTTACAGGGTGAGCTGGCCGCCATCAAACAGACCAAACAGAAGCTGGAGGAGAAGAACAAGGAACTGGAGGAGGAGCTGAAAAAGTGAGCGTCTGCCGCTTCAGTCTCAGCTGCCATATTGTTGTAGCCTTCATTAGAAATAGCCTAGTGCTTACTGTTGGGTGTACAGACTTCCCAAATAACAAATGCATTTCTGTACAGCACTAATTGAAGAGACACAAAGATTAACTGCAAATTTGTGAGCTAATGTTCGTGTTTGTGGAATGGAAGGAGAGAAGTTTCCACTGTGTAGGACAGTTTTTGCCATCAGTAATAATGGACAATACTTTGTTCCAGGGCAAGGGCAGAAGCAGAGGAAGCGAGACAGAAATCGAAAGATGAAGAGGATGTAAGTTACACAATGTATTGCCAGACCTAGAAAATGTAAACTTTCTATACAGTGAAACGAAGGGATGCCATATTCTAAACTCCTTTTCAATAATCATTTTGTATGTTTCCTTATAAGAGAAGTTTGGGATTTTTTAACTACTTCATGTCCGGACACTTTTACCCCCTTCCTGTCCAGGTCAGTTTTCATCTTTCAATGCTGTCGCACTCTGAATGGCAATTGCGCGGTCATGCAACACTGTACTTTATGAATTTTTTAGCATTTTCATTTTTTTGAGGCCGAGAAAACTTTATTTTGGTGGTATTTATTCACCACTGGGATTTTTATTTTTATTGCTATATAAATTAAAAAGTCTGAAAATTTTGAAAAAAAAGTGTTTTTCTTATACAATTTTGCAAATAAATAATCTTTCTTCATAAATCTTGGCAAACATTTAATCAGTTATCTTTTTAGTAAAAAAAAAATTGCCCAAATTAGTTTATAACCAAAAATTATAATTTTTCAAAAACTTTTTTACATTTTAATTTTATTTTTTTAAATTATTATTTATGTTTTTTTTTTAACATACTGTCACCCTAGCAGTACAGTGTCACCATAGTGACACTGTACTACTTGTGGGGGGTGATGAAGATTTTTTATTTTGTACTGATTGCTTTTACACCCATAAAGGCTGTAAAAGCAATCATTTCGCCTTCTCTCTGGCTGCATTCTTGCAGCCATTGAGAAATACTGTGAGAGTTGTGATTGGTCACAGCTTGTCACATGGTACAAGGCTGTTGTGAATAGCCCTGTACCATGTGACTTCTGTGATCATTCACAGATTTCACACATAGTAAGCAATGATGCCAGAAGTGACATCTTGCTTACACCTATTCATGTGATCACTGATTGGCTAATCAGTGATCACATGATCGAGACCTCACACAGAGGTCCCATACAGCGATCGTTGTTCCACTGTGTCCAGATCACAGTGCTGCGCGCTCCCAGGAAGCGGGCAGGGCGTTTATAAATGGACACCCACCCACCCCTGCACTGCGGATCACGGTGTTGCTTGCTCCCAGGGAGCGTGCACAATCCAAATTGGCGGGCACCGTTTATGAACGGCAACCCGCCCCTGCACTGCCACCGTCCGGCCGTTTATATACAGCGGCCGTACAGGAAGTGGTTAAAAAGTACACTTACCTAGGTGGATGCAACATCAATCCAATGCTGCATCTGTCCCTCACCGGCTCTAAGGGTGAGAACTGAATGATCAAACACCACTGATCGCTCAGTTCTCCCCACCACTCTGAGCAGATGTGCCCCCCACTCACTGGAGCGCTGGGCTGTGGAGGGGGCGGGGGTCGACTGGCTCAGGCTCTCAGCGGATCACTGAGAAGCTTAAGCAAGTGCTGATCCAGGCTCCTGGGTGGATCCGAGCCATATGGTCGCAACCTTTCCCCAGCCTGGACTGGCTCTGTGACGTCAGCTGACAGTGGGCTTTAACTGAAAATGGGTCACAGGAGTGAAGAACGAACTGTACTTCTGTGATCCAAAGGAGAAGTACAGCCAAATGAGCTTTGGCTGTACTTCTTTTTAAAGTGGTTCTAAAAAGCTTTTTACCTTGGAGGCAATCGGTCATTCCACTTGATTATGTTAAAAATAAACTTAATTGGATCATGATTAACGACAAACTCACCTGTGTCCTACACAATAACTTGAAGAAATTCGATAACACATGGAACCCGTGGATCCAATACTTTTGTGCCTTAATGACCCTCATCTGGACTTTCTTTTGTTCTTTTTTCTCTTTTTGTACTGCTCTGCGTTGTATGTTCTATGTTGGCAAGGCGAGATATACTTGACCTCGAATTGGCCATGATTTATGTCTTGTCTTAACTGCCAATTGTTGCGGCAGACTTTGTTGTTTTGGTGTTTCTATCTGTATATACGATAGATATTGCTTGTTTTACTTGAGTCTTTTTCCTTTGTAAAACTATTCAATAAAAACCATTGGAATATAAAACGCTTTTTACCTTAATGCATTCTCTGCATTAAGGTACTAAAATGCCCCACTATTTGTTTCTGTTTACACCCACCTGCACCTAATCTGATAAAAGCAGATGGATGGGGGATCTTTTTCCCATCCGTCTAGCGGATCGCATGACAGTCAGATGGAAATGGACAGGCGGTCTGTTTACATCCATTCGCCCCATAGAGGACAGCGGTCTGTGTCCACTCTGCACAAGCGGAGTGGACACAGACCTGTCATCCGCCTGCTCAGCGGGGATCAGCAGACACATCTTCCCCTGCTGAGCAGGCAGATCCATTTGGCGTCCACTTGGAGTCCGTCCATATGAAAGGGGCCTTAACCACTTGCCGTCCGCCTGCTGTTTTTAAACAGCAGGACGGTGGCACTCCAGGGGTGGGTTGCCGTTCATAATCGGCATCCGCTATTTCTAGTTGTGCGCGCTTCCTGGGAGTGCGCAGCACCGCGATCTGGTGCCCGCTGTGTCCTCCGGACACAGTGAAACACCGATCGTCTGTACGAGGTCCCGATCATGTGATCACTGATTGGCCAATCAGTGATCACATGCAAAGTAGTAAGCAAGATGTCACTTGTGACATCATTGCTTACTACGTGTGAAATCTGTGAATGATCACAGAGGTCACATGGTACAGGGCTATTCACAACAGCCTTGTACCATGTGACAAGCTCTGACCAATCACAGCTCACACAGTATTTCTCAATGGCTGCAAGAATGCAGACAGAGAGAAAGAGAAATGATTGCTTTTACATCCTATATGGGTGTAAAAGCAATCACTGTAAAAAAAAAAAAAAAATCTTCATCACCCCCCACCAAGGTGACACTGTACTGCTAGGGTGACGGTATGTAAAAAAAAAAACATAAATAATATAAAAATGTAAAAAAAAATGTTTAAAAACTATAATTTTTGGTTATAACTAATTTGGCGTATTTTTTTTTTTAATAAAAAGATAACGGAATACATTTTGGCCAAGATTTATGATGAAATATTATTTATTTGCAAAATTTTATAAGAAAAACACTTTTTTTTTTCAAAATTTTTGGACTCTTTCATTTATATAGCAAAAAAAAAATAAAAAGCCCAGCGGTGAATAAATACCACCAAAATAAAGCTTTTATCTGTCTCAACAAAATGGTAAAAAATTCATATGGGTACAGTGTTGCATGACCGCGCAATTGTCATTCAAAGTGTGCTAGCGCTGAAAGCTGAAAATTGCCCTGGACAGGAAGGGGGTGAAAGTGTCCGGACAGGAAGTAGTTAATGTAATTGGTGTCTCAGTTTTGTCCCGGGTTCTGATTCTTTTTATATTCTTTCTTTGCTGAAGAGCGATGTACCTACAGCTCAACGGAAGCGATTCACACGGGTGGAGATGGCGCGGGTTCTGATGGAGAGAAATCAGTACAAGGAGAGACTAATGGAGCTGCAGGAGGCAGTCCGCTGGACGGAAATGATAAGGTATGTGTACACCGCTCAAGTAGATGACAGGATAAATTGCAGTCCTCTTGTGAGGTCTTTTGATAAGATCACGATAATTTTATAACTTCCTACAAGAGTTTTAAAATTTGAAATCATAAATGCTACAAAACCTTTCTTGGTGTGTGTCAATTTTAACTTTAAATGTACTAAACTTGCCAATAAACTGACAGCTTTCTAGCATTCTGAAATGTTTGCTTTTCCTTCAGAGCATCCAGAGAGAATCCGGCCATGCAGGAAAAGAAGAGGTCCAGCATCTGGCAATTGTAAGTTGGAGAAAAACATTCATGTTTAAGAATGCAGATTGCAGTTCAGTTTTAGGATAATTATGATCCAGTAGTGTTATATTGTTAAGATAATTTTTTAAATTTATTTTTTTTCCCCAAAAGGGGAAGTTCCACTTCCTTTGTCCCCTGCTCCCCATTAAGGATTGGCACCTTTGGGGAGCTGGGGGGGGGAGTGGGTACCCGAATTTGACAGATACCCACTCCTAATTTCACTGCAATCGCCTAGGAGATCGGAAGCGGAAGTTTTCCTCCTACCTTCCCTCCCCGTAGTCTTCTGGGACACGTGACAGGTCCCAGAAGACTACGGGGCCATTCACAAAGCGCAGGTCTTCTCGCAGTGAGCACCTGGTTGTGAAGCCAGAAACTGTCACAGCTGGGTGCCCACACTGAAGATGCCGGCACCAGAGAGAGAAGACAGCCGGTGAAACAGCGGTGGTGAGGACACCGCTGGAAGGAGGGACAGGTAAGTGGCTGTATTTTAAAAGTCAGCAGCTACAGTTTTTGTAGCTGCTGATTTTTTTTTTTTTTTTGTTTTCCAGGTGGAACTCCGCTTTAACAAAGAACAAAAAATCGTCAAGAATGGCCTATAACCTATTTTGTTTGATATTTATATGTTTATTTTTTTTTCTAAGGCAGAGACACTTTTATATTCTGGCCCATGTTTTGTGGATTCATGCAGAGCGTTCATTCTTATGACCAATCCATTTTAAAGTACATGTAACCTTTTGCACTAGGTTCCACTACCGCTCACAATACACAACATACAGTTTGCTTTTGTTTTTATGATGTGCTGAATGTACATTAAAGTGGTTCTAAAGACAGAATTCTATGCATTAAGATAAAAAAAACCTTCTGCGTGCAGCTTCCCCCCACATACTTACCTGAGCCTGATCTTGATTCAGCGATGTGCATGAGAGCAGTGGGTCTCCTGATTCTATCTCCTCACTGGACAGATAGGTAGCAATGGAAGCCATTGGCTTCTGCTGCTGTCAATCACAGCCAGTGAGAAGAGCGAGAATTGCGGGGTCAAGCTATGCTCTGTTGTCAATGGACAGACAGAGCCGGCTCGGGAGTGAGCATGCACGAGTGATCCCACAGTGGCAAGTGGCTTGCTATGGAAGCACTCAGCAGACGGGAGGGACCAGGAGCAGCTGCGGAAGACCCAAGAAGAGGAGGATCAGGGTTGCTCTGTGCAAAAACCATTGCACAGAGCAGGTAAGTATGATATGTTCGCTATTTAAAAAACAAAAGTCTTTAGATTCACTTTAAAGGAGAGTATCCACCCAAAAGTGGAAGCTCGCTTATCTGCCTCCTCCCCCCTTTGCCTTGCGGGGAGAGGGGATAGCAGGTACCTGGTTTTGACAGGCGGCAAACTGAGCCAGAAGTTCAGCCAGAACTATATTTTGTTACCTGACAAGTTTTCAGCAGTTGAAAGCCTCTTCTGATTTATAGGGGTATTTTTTATAATAAAATCTTGTTTTCGCGTCTAGTTTCAGCCGCCTGTTCAGCTCTTCTGGCACTGCTTCTAAGAAACCCGACATGCCTGTCAACGTCCGATACAACGCCCCGACCTCGCACATCACCCCCTCCATCAAGAAGAAGAGCAGTGCCTTAGCCAAACTCCCCAGCGACAAGTCCAAAGCCTTCGACTTTCTTAGTGATGAGTGAGTGATGGCTTTGTGTTTATACAATTGTGTATAGCCTGCTGCTTGAAAGGAAATGTTTAATTGCCTAGTGTGAGTTTACACCATATTTTCTTCGTGTAAATCTCCTCTCCCATAGTGCTTGGAAAAAAAAAATCTTAATAGGCTGCAAGTATGGTAGTTTTACAAACACACCGATGGCCATTATTTGCACCGTTATTTAGTGGAGCCTGTTGGAAACCAGAGACTGCACTGACCCTTGAATTCAGACCTGTCAGAATGGAGAAACTGGTCCCCCTATGAAAGACCTGCTATTCATGGTGGATTTTCTAGAGCTGTCATTCTTAAGCTGGCCATAGTTGGAGCGAAAATTTGTTTAGCAAGGAGCGTCCGAATTTCGATCTATCTATGGCTGTTTCCTATGTCACAATACGATAGCACAGTCTGGAGGATTCCTCCATCCATTCGATTGTGTAGGCTGGCTGATAAAAAAAAAAAATATCCTACTATGGCTAGCCTAAGCCTTGATTAGAACTTGACCCAGCACAAGAAATGTGTGACAGATGATATGCACAGGCTTGTTCCAGGTTAGTTACTGATTAGCCACTTGCCCACCGGGCACTTTTATCCCCTTCCTGCCCAGGCCAATTTCCAGCTTTCAGTGCTGTTGCAATTTGAATGACATTTGTCATACAACACTGTACCCATATGAAATTATCATTTTTTTCACACAAATAGAGCTTTCTTTTGATGGTATTTCATTATCACTGGGGTTTTTATTTTTTGGACTATAAACAAAAAAAAACAGCAAAACAAAAAAAAAATTATTTTTTTCTTTGTTTCTATTATAGAATTTTGCAAACAGGTAATTTTTCTCCTTCACTGATGTGTGTTGATGAGGCTGCACTGATGGGCACTGATAGGCTGCACTGATGAGGTGGCATTGATGAAGCGGCACTGGTGGGCATTGAGGAAGAGGCACTGGTGATGCTGCACTGATGCAGCAATGATGGGCACTGCTGATCAGGGTACTGATTATCAGTGCAGATCTGCTCTGTGACATTTGCCGGTTATCTGCTGTGACAGGGTGAGGAAAGTGCTGCCAATAACTGGCAAGTGTGTTTGTTTGTGATCTGCTGTGTCATTGGACACAGCTGATTATGTAGTAAAAGGACGCTGTGATTGACCTTTTACCTAGTCATGTGATAAGCTGTGTCTGTAGGATACAGCGATCACTGACAGCGCTGGGGGGCGCATTCTGGGAGGACATCATATGACTCCCTCCCAGAACTGGACAACCGTGCTGTTGCCGTCTTTCGGGATTGACCATGAGCTCTTCACTTCTATAATTTTATTTCAGTTGGCAGAACAGTGTTTTTAATTCCCATTTTATTTCTCATTAATCATCACTTGGACAGTAAATGAAGCCGCTCTGGCCTCCCGGAGAGAACAGAAAAGAGAGCAGTACCGCCAGGTGAAAGCGCACGTCCAGAAGGAGGATGGTCGCATTCAGGCATTTGGCTGGAGTCTTCCTCAGAAGTACAAACCGGTGTGTGTATAATATAAATATATCTGTATCCAGCTCTATCCATAAAATAAAAAAAAAAAAATATATATATATATATATATCAGGTGCTTAAATAGCGCAGTAAGTGTACTCAGCGCTTTGCAAATATATAGTACATTCATTTATATATATATATATATATATATATATATATAAGTTTGTGTATTTTTTTTTTTTTTCTTCGCCTGCTTTCTGAAATACTTTCAGTGTTTTTCTTTGTAACTCTGCACACTTTTCTTCTGTCACCATGCATTGTTCGTAGCTTGCCAATGGCGGACAAAGCGAAGGCAAGATGAAGAATTTGCCGGTTCCAGTATACCTGAGGCCGCTGGATGAGAAGGACACTTCAATGAAGGTAACGGCACAGCTCCTCTTCCTTCAGATTGAGGTCAGTTTGTGTTATTCCTGCGCTGTCCATGACGGAGATGTACTGTGTTCCCCTCTCAGCTTTGGTGTGCAGTTGGTGTCAACCTATCTGGCGGGAAGACAAGAGATGGCGGCTCAATTATTGGAGCCAGTGTGTTCTATAGCGACCTCCCGGGCTCTGATGTAGATGACCAGAAGCCACGCAGCGAGTCCCAGAGCAGTTTAGAGAAACTTGAACAAGAATTGAAGGTGAGTTACACCCAAAAGGGGTGCAAATTATAATTGACTTTCTGGACAGCATATGGCTTGTTATATTGTAACAACTGAAGTGTTCTTTTGTAGGCTGTCTGTTAGTAGCAGGCCATGTTTTCCGTCCCTTGTCGGTGACAGGTGGAATAATTAATCTGTCAAATTTATATAGTAATTGTATCACAGCTTTGCTGCTACCTGGGATTCTAGAAATCCTCAGCTGTTACTGGTGCTAATAGAAATGTTTTACAGAGTTTTGGGAGCGGACAATCATCTATGCGTTGTGTAAAATAAATAGTGATGAGGACAGTTCCTACTGGAGGCCTCAGTTTGTCTTGTCCCTCCCTGTCCATGTTTAAATATATAGGAAACACAACAAAAGAAGATCCAGAGACGGAGGGAAAATCCACTCTTAGATAGTTTTAGGAATGTTCTGTCTGTGTTCCATAAGGTAACTTTCCCTTCACTTCCTGTTACAGACATAATAAGAAACTTGTGGAAATCGTTTTGAAGCAAAGGAAATTCCTTCTTACAGTTGTCACCAGAACTGCTGTCCCCTTCAGTAAATTCAACCTCTGTTCCTGATCTGGTAACAACTGTAAAATTGGGATTTCCTATCAATTCTTGTGGTCACCAAGCAAATCAAGAGTGAATCCCCCCCCCCAGTGGGGAACCATGCTAAAAAATAGTCTTCTCCGCTTTATCCAAAACTAAGAAAAATGTTTTGGACGATTAATTTTAACTGTCATTGGGGAACAGAAGAGTGTGCTGTGATCCCCATCCTTGTCCCTGAACAGAAGAGTGTGCTGTGATCCCCATCCTTGTCCCTGAACAGAAGAGTGTGCTGTGATCCCCATCCTTGTCCCTGAACAGAAGAGTGTGCTGTGATCCCCATCCTTGTCCCTGAACAGAACAGTCTGCTGTGATCCCCATCCTTGTCTCTGAACAAAACAGTGTGCTGTGATCCCCATCCTTGTCTCTGGACATTCCCATTCCTCAACAAATTGTGTGCAATGACTGTTTTTTTCATAGAGTAACATTTCTCTGCCCTACTGCCCATCTGTAACCTGTTCGCCTTTTTTAGTTTGGAAGGACATCAGAGTATAGCTTTGTTTACTGCTGAATGCGATGGGAGTTTTTCCATCTCTGAGTATGATCTTCTGTTCCGATGTGTCTGTGCGCCTCACCTCTGTTAACCCCTCATGTTGTTGTAACCCCTCAGGTCCAACAGAAAGAGTTAAGGCACCAAGATGAATTGTCCAGTCTCGTATGGATCTGCACCAGTACACATTCCTCCACCAAGGTCATCATCATTGACGCCAATGACCCTGGAAATGTGTTGGATACTTTTATAGTTTGCAACTCCCATGTACTGTGCATCTCCAGTGTGCCAGGTAAGATTGATGTCTGTAAGTTGGTAGTGTCAGCCATCACTTTCCTAATTCCTGTCCTGAGTCAGACATCACCTTCCTCCTTTCTGTCCTGGGTCAGACATCACCTTCCTACTTCCTGCCCTGAATCAGCCAGCGCCCTTATTACTTCCTGCCCTGAATCAGCCAGCGCCCTTACTACTTCCTGCCCTGAATCAGCCAGCGCCCTTACTACTTCCTGCCCTGAATCAGCCAGCGCCCTTACTACTTCCTGCCCTGAATCAGCCAGCGCCCTTACTACTTCCTGCCCTGAATCAGCCAGCGCCCTCACTACTTCCTGCCCTGAATCAGCCAGCGCCCTTACTACTTCCTGCCCTGAATCAGCCAGCGCCCTTACTACTTCTGCCCTGAATCAGCCAGCGCCCTTACTACTTCTGCCCCGGGTCAGCCAGCGCCCTTACTATTTCTTGCCCCGGGTCAGCCAGCGCCCTTACTATTTCTTGCCCCGGGTCAGCCAGCGCCCTTACTATTTCTTGCCCCGGGTCAGCCAGCGCCCTTACTATTTCTTGCCCCGGGTCAGCCAGCGCCCTTACTATTTCTTGCCCCGGGTCAGCCAGCGCCCTTACTATTTCTTGCCCCGGGTCAGCCAGCGCCCTTACTACTTCTTGCCCCGGGTCAGCCATCGTCCTTACTACTTCTTGCCCTGGGTCAGCCGGCGCCCTTACTACTTCCTGCCCTGGGTCAGCCGGCGCCCTTACTACTTCCTGCCCTGAATCAGCCGGCGCCCTTACTACTTCCTGCCCTGAATCAGCCAGCGCCCTTACTACTTCCTGCCCTGAATCAGCCAGCGCCCTTACTACTTCCTGCCCTGGGTCAGCCGGCGCCCTTACTACTTCCTGCCCTGGGTCAGCCGGCGCCCTTACTACTTCCTGCCCTGGGTCAGCCGGCGCCCTTACTACTTCCTGCCCTGGGTCAGCCGGCGCCCTTACTACTTCCTGCCCTGGGTCAGCCGGCGCCCTTACTACTTCCTGCCCTGGGTCAGCCGGCGCCCTTACTACTTCCTGCCCTGGGTCAGCCGGCGCCCTTACTACTTCCTGCCCTGGGTCAGCCGGCGCCCTTACTACTTCCTGCCCTGGGTCAGCCGGCGCCCTTACTACTTCCTGCCCTGGGTCAGCCGGCGCCCTTACTACTTCCTCCTGCCCTGGGTCAGCCGGCGCCCTTACTACTTCCTGCCCTGGGTCAGCCGGCGCCCTTACTACTTCCTGCCCTGGGTCAGCCGGCGCCCTTACTACTTCCTGCCCTGGGTCAGCCGGCGCCCTTACTACTTCCTGCCCTGGGTCAGCCGGCGCCCTTACTACTTCCTGCCCTGGGTCAGCCGGCGCCCTTACTACTTCCTGCCCTGGGTCAGCCGGCGCCCTTACTACTTCCTGCCCTGGGTCAGCCGGCGCCCTTACTACTTCCTGCCCTGGGTCAGCCGGCGCCCTTACTACTTCCTGCCCTGGGTCAGCCGGCGCCCTTACTACTTCCTGCCCTGGGTCAGCCGGCGCCCTTACTACTTCCTGCCCTGAATCAGCCGGCGCCCTTACTACTTCCTGCCCTGAATCAGCTGGCGCCCTTACTACTTCCTGCCCTGGGTCAGCCGGCGCCCTTACTACTTCCTGCCCTGGGTCAGCCGGCGCCCTTACTACTTCCTGCCCTGAATCAGCCGGCGCCCTTACTACTTCCTGCCCTGGGTCAGCCGGCGCCCTTACTACTTCCTGCCCTGGGTCAGCCGGCGCCCTTACTACTTCCTGCCCTGGGTCAGCCGGCGCCCTTACTACTTCCTGCCCTGAATCAGCCGGCGCCCTTACTACTTCCTGCCCTGAATCAGCCGGCGCCCTTACTACTTCCTGCCCTGAATCAGCTGGCGCCCTTACTACTTCCTGCCCTGGGTCAGCCGGCCCTTACTACTTCCTGCCCTGGGTCAGCCGGCGCCCTTACTACTTCCTGCCCTGGGTCAGCCGGCGCCCTTACTACTTCCTGCCCTGGGTCAGCCGGCGCCCTTACTACTTCCTGCCCTGGGTCAGCCGGCGCCCTTACTACTTCCTGCCCTGGGTCAACCGGCGCCCTTACTACTTCCTGCCCTGGGTCAGCCGGCGCCCTTACTACTTCCTGCCCTGGGTCAGCCGGCGCCCTTACTACTTCCTGCCCTGGGTCAGCCGGCGCCCTTACTACTTCCTGCCCTGGGTCAGCCGGCGCCCTTACTACTTCCTGCCCTGGGTCAGCCGGCGCCCTTACTACTTCCTGCCCTGGGTCAGCCGGCGCCCTTACTACTTCCTGCCCTGAATCAGCCGGCGCCCTTACTACTTCCTTCCCCTGAATCAGCCGGCGCCCTTACTATCTTCCTGCCCTGGGTCAGCCGGCGCCCTTACTACTTCCTGCCCTGGGTCAGCCGGCGCCCTTACTACTTCCTGCCCTGAATCAGCCGGCGCCCTTACTACTTCCTGCCCTGAATCAGCCGGCGCCCTTACTACTTCCTGCCCTGAATCAGCTGGCGCCCTTACTACTTCCTGCCCTGGGTCAGCCGGCGCCCTTACTACTTCCTGCCCTGGGTCAGCCGGCGCCCTTACTACTTCCTGCCCTGGGTCAGCCGGCGCCCTTACTACTTCCTGCCCTGGGTCAGCCGGCGCCCTTACTACTTCCTGCCCTGGGTCAGCCGGCGCCCTTACTACTTCCTGCCCTGGGTCAACCGGCGCCCTTACTACTTCCTGCCCTGGGTCAGCCGGCGCCCTTTACTACTTCCTGCCCTGGGTCAGCCGGCGCCCTTACTACTTCCTGCCCTGGGTCAGCCGGCGCCCTTACTACTTCCTGCCCTGGGTCAGCCGGCGCCCTTACTACTTCTTGCCCCTTACTACTTCTTGCCCTGGGTCAGCCGGCGCCCTTACTACTTCTTGCCCTGGGTCAGCCGGCGCCCTTACTACTTCTTGCCCTGGGTCAGCCGGCGCCCTTACTACTTCTTGCCCTGGGTCAGCCGGCGCCCTTACTACTTCTTGCCCTGGGTCAGCCGGCGCCCTTACTACTTCTTGCCCTGGGTCAGCCGGCGCCCTAACTACTTCTTGCCCTGGGTCAGCCGGCGCCCTTACTACTTCTTGCCCTGGGTCAACCGGCGCCCTTACTACTTCTTGCCCTGGGTCAGCCGGCGCCCTCACTACTTCTTGCTCTGAGTCAACGGGTGCCCTTACTACTCCTTGCCCTGGGTCAACGGGTGCCCTTACTACTCCTTGCCCTGGGTCAGCCGGCGACCTTACTACTCCTAGCCCTGGGTCAGCCGGCGCCCTTACGACTTCCTGCCCTGGGTCAGCCGGCGCCCTTACGACTTCCTGCCCTGGGTCAGCCGGCGCCCTTACGACTTCCTGCCCTGGGTCAGCCGGCACCCTTACTACTGTATATCTGAGGTGTGGCTTCAATCCTGGGTTTATAGTGACCGTACATAATATCCTTAAACATATCCTGTTTTTATTCTAGGAGTTATGGAAACTGACTACCCCACAGGAGATGCTACCAAACTAGATGCAGACTCTGGGCAAGCGGACAAATCTTCCTTATCCGAGAGTCTAGTGAGCAGTAGCTCTTCCTCAGAGCAGCCAGTGGGGGGCGTCAAAGTTACTGTTGCCTCTGTGGAGGAATCTGAGCCCCTCTCGCCACAAACCGCCAGTGTTCTCTCCAGCGAGGCAGAGTGCAATCCAGGTGAGATGCAGTGACTGTTGGTTTTGTTCCTTGATGCAGCCAATCAGATTTGGTGGGCATGTAGTTGGAGGATAATTGCACACAATCAGAAAGGTAGAGATTTTGTACATTAAGTTCCCCACCATTACCTGCTCTTATTCTATTGCGATTGCAGATCCCGACTCCACCAATACTGAGCTGGATGATAATGTGCCCACGGCGGAGGAAGCCACGGAGGCCACAGAGGTGGGAGATGTCAGTACAGATGACGTGGCAGATATTCAGGCCGGGATCTATACAGAACATGTCTTCACTGACCCTCTAGGTGTACAGAACACAACTGACGACTCTGGCTGCCAGCCTAGGTGAGAGTCGCCAGTAGGATCTACACATAATCAGATTCACGTTTTCTTCGTCCTAAACCCAACTATAGCTCTGAGCCTATTTCACGTGTAAACGAAAATAATTAGTTTTATGTCGAGCAAAATTGTTAGCAGAATCCTAACCATCTCTTGTCCGGCTATTTTGCTTAAATAGCCAGTCAGAAATGCCACCCTTTGGCTGATTCTGACTGGGACAAGGCATTCCTGCTTAATTTCAAGATGAGTATATCCAACTATGCACAAGAGCGAAACTTTAAGCTTCTTTCGAGATGGTACAGAAGTCCAGTGGCCCTACAAGATGTCTCATACGATCCCAGATAGCTGTTGGCGATGTGCGGAACCATAGGGCACCGCCTTGATATATGGTAGTCTTGATCTCAACTGAAGCCTTTCTGGTCCACCTATCTTTCAGTTATGTCGACTGATCATAGGTTGCTCATGGCCCGAAATCCCTGAGGTAGCATTGCTTTCGCTCATTCCTGGGTCTATGGCACGGCTCAAGAAGGATGTTTTTTGTTTCCTCCTCGCACCAGCATGGGCACTCATCCCATGACACTGGAAATCTACGACCGACCCTTCTGTGAGGAAATAGGTTGAGGAACTCAATACCATCATGCCATTGGAGCAACTGACTGCTAGTCTTCATGAGCAATACTCCTAGTTTGTACAAATATGGATTGCGTTGATCGATTTTTCTATGTCCTCCAAACTTCAGCCTTTCCTGTAATACTTGCTTTGAGTCTGGGGCTGCCGTGGCGGGTGTCTGACGGGGTCTTAGTTGAGGGTCTTCCCTTTTCTTTAGTATATCCCTCCTTTTCGCTCTTTTTTTTTTTCTTTTTCCTTTCTGGGATCCGCTATGGATCCTCTGGTCCTTGTTATCATGGGTGGTCCCCTGCTGTCTAGGGGATGCATGTTGTCTAATTACTGAGACATGCCCGGGCCACTCTTTCATTATATACCATGTAAGGTCTTAGAAAATGCAACTTAACTCTAGGAACAGATGGGATATCCATCACACAAACACAAGGATCACCTACATACCCTCAAGTGTTATTGTGCTTATGTTTCTTTTATGACACTGTCTTTGGTTAAGAGGCCTTACATTGTTGCCCTGTTAATGTATGTCAGATCTGTTTTCATGATGCAAAATGTTTGATCAACTTTATTGATTTAGAAAAAAAAAAAAAAAAGCAGCTAATAGCACTCTGACCCCTGAGTGGATGTTTAAAAATGTCCTTGTTTCAGAGAGCATGTACAATGCATGTGATCGCACTGTCATTAGGCAAGGGCAGATCACAAGCAAAAGGCACATAGCCAGTCAGAGTGGCTTTATGCCATGTAATTGCTCTGTTGGCCAATCAAAACAATCACAAATGTGACCAGGCTGTGTTTGCACAAATCCAGCCCTCTTTAAAGAGCTTGGGCCAAGCTCTGGGTGGGTGTCTATAAATGGCCTCCCAGAACGCGCCTCCTGCGTGGCCCCCTGCGGGGTGCACTCTTTATGGCTGTGTCCTTTGGACACAGCTGATCACAGATCACAGTAAATGGCCAATCACAGTGGACCTTTGTCTTGTGATTACATGTGATCGGACTTGCATTATCCAGGGTGTCTTTTTCTCACGCTATGTGTCTGTGTGAGGCAGAGACAGCTGCTATTCAGCAAGGCTTTCAGTACTTTGTTGGCACTGATTATCAGTGCGGCCTCCTGAGTGCCCGTCAGTGCGGCCTCCTGAGTGCCCGTCAGTGCGGTCTCATCAGCGCACATCAGTAATTGTGATAAATACTGAGGAGGAAGGAGCGAGGGGAATTGCCGATACCACATACGCCAAGGTAGGGCAATGAATGTGTTATGACCTTGATCTGTATTGAGGTCCATTGCACAAGGTGAGCGCATATTATCACTGGTTGCTTGCATATGTCACAGAGCTTGAGAAAAGAGGAAGAGATAAATCATATCATGGTGGTGGAGGAAATGCAGCTTTATTGGATATTGAAGGACCATTATATTGTTTTGATTTCAGGACTGTCACATTATTTGATGGAATTGTGCTGCATAATGGAAGACATTATACAAAAAAACGAAGAAAAAGGGTTTTTGTTTTCTTTCCAAAATTTTTGGTCTTTTTTTTTTATCAAAAAATGGAGAGACCCAGTGGTGATTTACATACAAGCAGAAGAAAGCTTTATCTGTCTCAAAAAAGATGATAAAAATTTAATTTGGGTACAGTGTTGCATGACCGCACAATTGTCATTCATAGCTGAAAATTGGCCTGGACAGGAAGGGGGTGAAAGTGCCCGGTATTGAAGTGGTTAAACATAGAGTTAGCCCTTAAAATGGACCCCCTAGTGTTGCTGCACACTAATTGAACTGGAGGTGAGGTTGGTATTCTGTTGCCATCCAAGTGGAATCCTCCTGTGTGTGGGGTTATAATCTGAGTAAAGTAGCCGCATTGAAGGACTGGCACTGAGGAAGCAGCATAAGGTATCAGAATGTTTGGTTCTGCTGGAGAAGAGTAGCTCTTGCAGATTTGCAGTGTAAGGCCTTTTATGCCGTGACCCAAAAGTGTCAGTATAAAGATGGAGGGCTATGGCCAGGGCACCCGGTGCAATCACATGCTTTTAGTTCATTGTAACTCCTGGCTTCCTCCTCTGCTGCAGCAACGAGTCGGACCTGTACAAAGATGGAGTGGCGACTCTTCCCAACGAGCAGGACCTGATGAGAGAGGAAGCGCAAAAGATGAACAGCCTGCTGCCGACAATGTGGCTGGGAGCACAAAATGGACAGTAAGTTGTCTCCACCCACTGCGCTGTCCTAAATGATCCGGTTATATAAAGTGATTGCTCTGAGTGACGGGTATCTCTGTTCCAGCCTGTACGTACACTCGTCTGTCGCCCAGTGGAAGAAGTGTCTGCTCCAGATAAAACTGAAAGATTCCATTCTCAGTATTGTGTAAGTATGCTTTGTACTTGGCGCATTATGTGGAGTCATCCCCAAAACCTTCTCCCTATCCTCATCAATGTGGGATGAACTCATACAAGAGCAGCAAGTCTTCATTGTGGTAGATGCAGATTTACTCAAGTATGAAGTTAACTATCTCGCCTAGTTTCTCTCTTCCTATAATATTTGTGAATTCATGGAATCGTATTGTTCTGGATCTTGGTACAAATCTTTTTTTTTTTTTTTTTTTTTTTCATGATTTCATGATTTCTTCTGTATTTCAGCCATGTGAAGGGGATTGTGTTGGTGGCACTGGCTGATGGGACGCTGGCGATCTTCCACCGAGGAGTTGGTGGGTATAATGTGCAGAAGGGAATTGAACTGTGTTCTTGGCAAATCCATTTAACCACAATAGACTTGCACTTCTGGAAAGCAAAGGGACCGCTTTTCCCTTTCTATTCATTGGCCTCACAATGACGATTGGCCTGTGCTTACAAGCTTCTGGGCTGGAGGTCCCATCCTGTTGAGACCTCTGTGCTGAGTCACCGGTTCTTTGCACCTTTTTATTGGCCCTTGAGCATTTCCCACCATTCCTGCTCTGGGTTTCCTTGTCTGCAGATCTGCAGTACCCATTATGAGGGGTTCCAATCATCTCTGCGCTGGGTTTCTGGGTCTGTACACCTGCTGTGCCCATTATGAGGGGTTCCTACCATCCCTGTGCTGGGTTTCTGGGTCTGTACACCTGCTGTGCCCATTGTGAGGGATTCCCATCATCCCTGTGCTGGGTTTCTGGGTCTGTACACCTGTTGTGCCCATTGTGAAGGGGATCCCACCATCCCTGTATTGGTTTTCTGGGTCTGTACACCTACTGCACCCATTATGAGTGATTCCCACAATCCCTGCGCTAGGTTTGTGGATCTGTATACTTGCTGTACCTATTGTGAGTGATTCCCACAATCTCCGTGATGGGTTTCTGGATCTGTACACCTGCTGTACCCATTACGATGGGTTCCCAGCATCACTGCACCAAGTGTCTGGGTTCATACCCCTAGTGTGTTCATTATGAGGGAACATTGGATATCAGTAAACCATAGTCCATGGGTGGTGGCACTGGGAGGTTTTGTCACCCAGACATTTTTTTTTACTATTTCTGTAGCTCAGAAGACAATAATACATCGTAATCAGTAGCAGCCATTAGATGTCAACTTCAGATCCCTCATCCTAAGGTTGTCGTACTTGTTCCTTCCTCTGTGTTGACAGATATAGTGGGCTGAGCATATTAAGTGTTAAATTGTTGTGCACATGGCCCACAGTTATTACATTTGGGTCTATTTACCAGCTTCGCTTTTAAGGCTCTTTTTTTTTTTTAATAGATGGCCAGTGGGATCTATCCAACTATCACCTCCTCGATTTTGGCCGTCCTCACCACTCTATCCGATGTATGACGGTAGTCCATGAGAAGGTCTGGTGCGGATACAGGAACAAAATCTACATTGTGAATCCAAAGACGATGAAAATTGAGGTGAGCAGAGAGGCCTCCTGTTCATGTTCTCTGAACCATTCCCTGGATTATGTGATCCGATTCTCAGACTGTTCTTTCCTGTCCATGTTCTCTGATCAATTCTATGAATTGCGTGAGCTGCTTTTTACACTCTGTTGTTCATTGTCCATGTTCTCTGATCCATTCCTCAGAATGTGTGAGCCAGTTCTCAGATTCTGCCGTTTTTTCTGTCCTGTCCATGTTTACCGATCCTATCTTCTGATTGTAATATTTGTTTTTCCATGTGTCTAGAAATCTTTTGATGCTCATCCGAGGAAAGAGAGCCAAGTGAGACAGCTGGCTTGGATCGGTGATGGTGTTTGGGTTTCCATCCGGCTCGATTCAACGTTACGGTTATACCATGCACATACCTACCAACATCTGCAGGATGTGGACATTGAGCCCTACGTTAGCAAAATGCTGGGTGAGCTTTGCACTATTTAAAATGAAAAAGAAAAAGTTTTGTCTTCTAAAGGTTTTTGGTTTTGGGTGTTATTACATTTATGGAAATCTTGGAAGCATAGAGTTAAAAATTCCGCCAGCACAGTGGGTCCCTTTTAAGTCATCGAGTGACACATTCAAGGTAAATCTGTGGGATCTCCTCCATATCTTTGAAACCCTGGTACTCTATTATGTAATTAAATTCCCCAGCTTTTATGGACAATATTTGCATCCCCCCAAACAAGCCTTAACATCAGCCAAACACCAGGTATTTGGAAAGGTGGTGTGAAGATGAGTACATACTAGCAGGGTTTGACTTAACCGCTTTAATACATTTTATGTACGTCGCAAGGTCTAATTTGTATACCGGGCTGATGCAGCTACAGGCATCATCCCAGTATAATTTTTTTTTTTTTTTTTTTTTTTTTTTCAAGAGCCAGCAATGCTCTTTCTTTTAAAAGCAATCCTAGCAACTAATTAGCCACTGGATTGCTTTACAGGCAACCCCCCGCAGTCTGGGGTCTAATTTTTTTTTTATGTAAAAAAATTTTAAGTAAAATAATTAAATTTTTAAAGCTCCCCCATCCCGTGTTCGTGCGCAAAGACAAACGCACGTGTTGATCCCTCACGCATACGTAAACGGAGACCACACCACGAGGTGTCACCATAAAAGTCAGAACAAAAGCAATAATTCTAGCACCGGACTTTAAATTGGCAACCTGTACAGACTTTTAAAGCATCGCCTATAGAGATTTTTAAGTACTGTAGTGGATTACCACAGGGGCAGCTCCAGAATAAAGGAGTGTATTGCAGCAAATGGGTCTGTTGATTTTAATTTAGTTTTTATTGAAGTTCTGCTTTGGTTAAAAGCACTTGACTAGTTGTGTTCACTTTTTCCTCCTTTTTCTTTTTTTTTTTTTTTTTTTTAGGCACTGGAAAGCTAGGATTCTCCTTTGTTAGGATAACAGCCCTGATGGTGTCTTGTAACCGGCTGTGGGTGGGGACCGGGAATGGTGTCATTATATCCATCCCCCTGACTGAAAGTAAGTATAGATGGAGAGGTGGTGAATCTACAGACAGCTATAGCAGATCAGAACACTAAATGACCTGCTGTAGACAAGATCTGCAATAGTTTTGTTTCCTCAAATAAAACATCAAATGTAATTCAGTTCAGAATAATATCTAAGTATATTTAGTGCCGACATTGCTGAATGTTATGAAATAGTAAGTTTTGTTGATCCCTGAACAATGCTGTTTTAAAATTTTGTAATTCTGAATTTAGGAAAGTTACAAATGAAGCCTTACTTGATGACCGATAGGTTGGCTGGAGATTATTCATGGAGGTATTAGATTGTATGATGAGAATATGTCCAATAAACCAGAGCAGGATCTTTAGATCTGTGCAGTGTGGGTCCACGATATGTTGGGTCCCAGAGAAAAGATGTGTTGACAATTAAAGCTGAACTCTGTACATGGAAATTTTCATGTAAATATGTTCTTCAATCACAGAGTCAAAATCCCCTTTGTGCGCACCAAATGCCTTTGCAAAACCTAGTTATTAGCTTGCAAAGGTTGGGGCTAGATCATAGCTGTACAGAAAGCAGAGCTGAAGTTGGGGCCCAGCAGGTTCACCAACTACAGGATGCCTGCTGGAATGGGGGGCAGAGTCAAGACCAGTCACCCTGCACAAAGGAGAGATAGCAGCAGGTACCAGTCTTTTTCAGGAAGGTCTTGCACAAAGGCAAAATGTCACACAGGATTGCTGCACAGATCTGGAAAAAATACAGAATGCGCATCAAGATTCAAGTAAGAATACACATGACTCTTGTATTTAAACAGTATTTACTTATCTTGGAGTCCACCTTTAAACTTCTGATAAAACCTTGTTGGAATGACTTTGTTTCCTATACTTGGTGGTGGAGCTTTTCTCTTGGAAGCATCTTCTGCTCTGTTACTGATATACTGTATGTTGAGTATTAGCCAGGTCTGAAAGATGTAGAGATTGGTTTTCTAGACCTGATAAGGGCGTTGTGTGGATGGGAAATCTTAGACCCCAAGTACCAGAGACAAGTGTTGATTAGACTTTGCCTACCAGGTTCTCAAGAACTTGTTCTTCACTATCACCCCTGTCCATTACCCTCCCCTTACTCTCTTACTTATAGCCATTATACTGCACCAGGGCCGATTACTTGGGTTGAGGGGTAAGTGCCGACACAAGTCAACAAGTTCTCTTCCCTCCAGGCTTTATTCTAAGTAGCCACTTTGTCCTGGCTGTGTAGATTCACTCCTTTTGTATGTGTCTTCTTCCGGAGCCCTTGTTGGCTGTAGTCACCTGTAATACTAAAAGGCTCAACAGATTAGCCTCCTCTCATGTGTCGCAGCTAATCTTACAGTCGCACCCTCTGCGCTGGTCACCACATCATGTCATCCACTCTGGAGCTTCTCCTTCCCACGCAATGCTCTCCTTTTGGACCTCTCTGTCCTTCCATGGCCTTCTCATTCCAATGGATGTGTCTTGTAAATCTAGCAAGTCGTAGGATTAAATCAAAGAGCACTTGATGAGATTTTAAGTCTCCTAAGTGTATGCCTGGGCAAAAGAAAATCCATACATCTCTGCAATACATGCATGTTTCCCCATATTTTATATCTCTAAAAGCTCTGCAAAGACCAAAAATAACGTTTTTTTTTTTAAATTTATTATTTAAAGGGATAACACAAATTGCAGGAATGTATTGACACTTTTTTCTGCCCGCACATAAACGTTAAGCATTCCCCTGCACATGTGCAGACGGCTGCTTTCTACAAAAGAGACGTTCATATGGACCATGCAGCAGAGACCTAATCTCACCAGCAACAATAAGAAGAAAAGCTGCAAAAATGTTAAGTTTAAAGTCAGTAGAATGATAGGAACGCAACAAAGTATTAAGTAGACACTACAGAGAAGTATTGGAAGGCAATTAAATAAATTCACAAAGGCTGGCAATTCCCTTTAAAACACACCGGTATTTCTTGCTGGGATGGGTAAATAGAGAGTGAGGGCTGGTGTACCTTTCCAGGAGAAAATAATGCTCGGTATTTCCTTCACTGCTTGTCTAAAGCTTTACTACCGGGTCACGTGGTTTCTGTATAGCGGAAGAAAGACCAATCTAAACTCCTATCTTAACCAAACAAAGTTTCCCAGCAAACTTACCGGCTAGCTTGCAAAAAAAAAAAACAAAAAATTGAGCCATCTAACAATTTTCATTTAACCTCTTCACACTGGCCGTACGCATATATGCGGCTGCTTGGCAGGTGAGAGTCCACATGTACGCAGCCCTGTGTAAACAACTTTCTGTACTGAGTCTGCTTCCTGCACAGTAGCCGGCGGGGATCTGTAAGCTCCCGATGCATACTTGCTTTTGGGAGCTTTCCAATCATGTAACCACACTGTGACAGCCAATCACAGCGGTCACATGACCAGAATGCACGCTTCCGCCTATGTAACCACTGTGACAGCCAATCACAGTGGTCACATGACCGGAATGCGCGCTTCCGCCTCCCGGCTTAAGCAGCCAGGAGGCGGATGGCGAGAAGGGGCAGAGGGTTTAGTTGCACACATTTGCAAGTCTCCTCTGTAGAGTGTAGTCTTAACCCTTAAATGTGAGAGTCTCCCAGTCTTGGGAGCTTTCTGATCACGTGATCACTGTAACAGCCAATCACAGCATTTTGATCCAATTCGGTCAGGAGGCGGTAGTGGGAAAAGGTTAAAGGCAGGTATGCCTGATGGGAATCCATTCCTCCTAGAAGGCGCAAGGACATATTAAGCAGCCAGAAGGTGGATGGTGAGAAGGGGCAGAGGGTTTAGTTGCACACATTTGCAAGCTTCCTCTGTAGAGTGCGGTCTTAACTCTTAAATGTGAGTCTCTCCAAGATGGAGCAAGTATAGTACTGGATAAATTAAGCTCCTCCCATCGACATGGCGCCTATATACGGCCTCTCATTGGGCGTGCTTTAACGCTGAGTAGCCGCATATATGCGTCTTTTGACAAACGCTCCCAGTATAGCAACTAACGTAATGGAAAGCTCCCAATGCATACTTGCTATTGGGAGCTTTCTGATCACGTGATCACTGTAACAGCCAATCACAGCATTTTGATCCAATTTGGTCAGAAGGCGGTAGTGGGAAAAGGTTCAAGCCAGGTATTCCTGATGGGGATCCATTCCTCCTAGAAGGCGCAGGGACATATTAAAGCCCAGCAAGAGCACAATTCTTGAAGGCAATGTGTCCCTATGCCGTATCCAATCAGCAAGTTTTGCAAGAATGGTGACCACCCCAATTTATAACTAGCTTTTGAAGTTTTGCATGTGCACCTTACTTCAAAAGTTAGATATAAATGGGGGTGGTTGCTATTCTTGTATAGCTTGCCCATTGGATTTGGCATGAGGACACATTGGATGCCTTCAGCTGCCAATGGGCTCCCTCCAGGCATACCTGCCCTTACACTATTCACTGCTATATATGCTCCAATTTGGACACTTTCAAGTTTAAGTCCTCATGCACACTAGACTTTTTTTACAGCTGCTGTTTTTGGTTTCTTGTATTTCTACTCTTAATCCGAAAGAGCGAACAGCAGCTGATGGACTGGTTTGTGTGTTCGTTTCTCATAATGAATGCAAGCAGAACCGGTAAGGCTGCCCACACCATTAAAAAGTAGCTGTCCCAGCTTATGCACAAATGTAATTATGAAATAATGAGCAGCTTCAATTGCAGTATAGCAGAGTACACATCTGAACGGGGTAGAGTAGTCCATGCCAAGGGAAGTAATTGTCAGGGAACGATATCGGATTCCCCATATCCATCCTGTAATGGCCTGGGGTTATTAGGTTCTAAATTTGCACCTTCAAAGGTTAGCTATAAATGGGGGTGGTTGCTATTCTTGTATAGCTTGCCCATTGGATTTGGCATGGGGACACATTGGACGCCTTCAGCTGCCAATGGGCTCCCTCCATGCATACCTGCCCTTACATTATTCACCGCTATATATGCTCCAATTTGGACACTTTCAAGTTTAAGTCCTCATGCACACTAGACTTTTTTTACAGCTGTTTTTGGCTTCTGGCATTTTATCTACAGCCATTAAACTCCCCAGCATGTTATCCTGTGTCCATGCACACGTAGACTTTAATCAGCGGTTTTTGGCTGGAGCGTTTTCTGTCTGGGGAAAAAAAAACTCAAGAGGAGTTCTTTAGCTGTAAAAATCTAACTCTGATAAAAACTGAAAAACACTAAAAAACGTGGTTATCTGGCGTTTATGAGCGTTTTTGAGCCTGAAGATTTTCTGAGCGTATAACTGCTAAAAAAAAAAAAAAAAAAAAAAAAAAAGGCGAACGCTGAAAAACATTAAAAATTCTGAAAACCGCTAAAAAACTCAGTTTTATTGCAGCATTCTACAGCTAATGCTAATGCTACTGGCGTTTTTATAACGTCCAGTGTGCATGAGGCCTTAGCGTTAGGACCACACTTAGAGGAGCCGTGGCGAGGCAGTGCAGCTGACATAGTTAGTCTGGCTGAAAAAAGACAAAAGTCCATCCAGTTCAACCATAGAAAAAAAAAAAGTTATAATCCTACACCCACAGTTGATCCGGAGGAAGGCAAAAAAAAAACCCCAGCAAAGCATGATCCAATTTGCTCCTGCTGGGGAAAAAAAATTCCTTCCTGATCCCCCGAGAGGCAATCAGATATTCCCTGGATCAACTTTACCTATAAATGTTATATCCAGTTATATTCTGTGTATCCAAGAAAGAATCCAGGACTTTCCTACAGCAATCCACTGAGCTGGCCACAACCAACTTCCACATATAATTGCTAAAATCCAATCTTGTCCTTCACTAAAGATAAAATGCTGAGGCCCTTGTGTATGAAGCCAGCACCGAAGAGAACCTGAGACAGCCTTTTCCCCAGAAAAAGCTTTTTTTTATTTCTACTCTTAATCCGAAAGAGTGAACAGCAGCTGATGGACTGGTTGGTGTGTTCATTTCTCATAATGAATGCAAGCAGAACCGGTAAGGCTGCCCACACCATTTAAAAAGTAGCTGCCCCAGCTTATGTAATGTAATTATGAAATAATGAGCAGCTTCAATTGCAGTATAGCAGAGTACACGTCTGAACAGGGTAGAGTAGTCCATGCCAAGGGAAGTAGTTGTCAGGGAACGATAAGGGATTCCCCATATCCATCCTGTAATGGCCTGGGGTTATTAGGTTCTAGGCAAATTTGTGTAAAAACACGGGCACCCCAAGTATATATTAGTGCTAGATGAACAAAAAACACATCGCATTCCTCTCTTCCTGCAGCATCTTCGCATGCTCTTCTAATAGTTCAGGCAGGTGCTTGGAATACTAAACTGGTTGTTCCCCCCCCCCCCCCTCCCCCTCTAGCTGCGCTTCCTAAACGAACCATTTTCTGTATATGCGCTTAGTACCCCTCTGTGTATGTATGGTTACTGCATTTCTGTTGTGTCTTCCAATCTCAAGCCAACAAAGTCTTGCCTGGCTCCGGGAATCGTCCAGGGAGCGTGATCCGAGTCTACGGCGATGAGAACAGCGATAAAGTGACCCCCGGAACGTTCATACCGTACTGTTCTATGGCACATGCGCAGTTGTGTTTCCACGGTCACCGCGATGCCGTCAAGTTCTTTGTTGCAGTACCAGGTAATTTGGAGTGTTAGAAAATCTCATAATGGAAGGAAAAAATGTCACCAGCACACCAAGGATCACCAATATGGGTCCAAAGGTTTTAATAGACGATCACATAGTTACAGCAAGGCAACGTTTCAGAGTCTCGCACAGCCCCTTCATCAGGCATGTGTCACATGCCTGATGAAGGGGTCCTGCGAGACTCCGAAACGTAGCCTTGCTGTAACTATGTGATCGTCTATTATCGTCAGACCTTGAAAGTGTCAAATAAAAATCAAATCAAAACAAAAAACCGGTGCCCAGCTTGGTGTAACCCCTTCTACTCTCAGCGTGCCTCAGTACCAGGGGCGGACTGACAACTCATGGGGCCCCCTGGCAATAGGGGATCATGGGGCCCCTGTGCCCAAACTCAAAAATGCCTGTGAAAAAGGTACCAGGGGCATCTCATTGGGCCCCCTACTGACCCCGGGCGCTCGGGCAGTGCCCGAGTTTCCAAATGGTCAGTCCGCCCCTGCTCAGTACACCTCTGAACCAGGTAGATTAGACAGTGCCAAGCCAGTTGTTGTCAGAGAACAATAACAAGGGAAGGTAAGAAGTCAGTTACTGGAGGCAAAGAAGAGGATTCTGGGAAATCTGATTTTTAAATCCTACAAATTCCAAATTGGAATGGAAGAGAAATTTTAATCATAAAATAGCTTATGTAGCAATGAAGATTTAGGAATATCCATTTAATTCTGCCTCTGATTTGTTTCATAATTCTTTATGTAAATGAGGGAAATTCACGCAGATGTGGTGAAAAATTCCAGTAACGGGGGTGACTTTTACCAAAAACTGCATCAGAATGATAAAATCTAGAGATTAAACAGTTGAATTCCTATTCAGATCTCCACTTTTACTGTAAAAGACAAACTTGGCTTTAATTGCCTAGAGGAGTGAACTGCAGCCCATGAGCCGGATATGGCCTGGCCCTTTGCTTGCCCTTCTCTTGCCTTTGGGGCACTATACCACTGATATGGGGCACTACTCCTCCAAGTGATACTATTAGTGAGGCATAATTCCTCCCACTGACACCAATGATGGAACACTATGTTTTACACTGACACCAACAAAGGGGCACTATTCCTCCAACTGGTATCAATAATGGGGCACTGTTCCTCCCACTGACACCAAGAATGGGACACTATTCCTTCCACTGACACCAAGAATGGGACACTATTCCTTCCACTGACACCAATAGTGAGGCACTATTCTTCCAACTGATATCAATGATAGTGCATTATTCCTCTCCCACTGACACCAAGATTGAGATACTATTCCACTGACACCAATAGTGAGGCACTTTTCCTCCCACTGTCACCATCCATGGAGCACTATTCCTTCCACTGACACCAGTAGTGAGGCATTTTTCCTCCTACTGTCACCAACGATGGAACATTATTCCTCCCACTGACACCAACAAAGGGGAACTGTTCCTTCCACTGACTCAACAATGGGACACTGTTCCTTCCACTGACACCAACAGTGGGACACTGTTCCTTCCACTGACACCAACGGTGGGACACTGTTCCTTCCACTGACACCAACGGTGGGACACTGTTCCTTCCACTGACACCAACGGTGGGACACTGTTCCTTCCACTGACACCAACGGTGGGACACTGTTCCTTCCACTGACACCAACGGTGGGACACTGTTCCTTCCACTGACACCAACGGTGGGACACTGTTCCTTCCACTGACACCAACGGTGGGACACTGTTCCTTCCACTGACACCAACGGTGGGACACTGTTCCTTCCACTGACACCAACGGTGGGACACTGTTCCTTCCACTGACACCAACGGTGGGGCACTGTTCCTTCCACTGACACCAACGGTGGGGCACTGTTCCTTCCACTGACACCAACGGTGGGGCACTGTTCCTTCCACTGACACCAACGGTGGGGCACTGTTCCTTCCACTGACACCAACGGTGGGGCACTGTTCCTTCCACTGACACCAACGGTGGGGCACTGTTCCTTCCACTGACACCAACGGTGGGGCACTGGACACCAACGGTGGGGCACTGTTCCTTCCACTGACACCAACGGTGGGGCACTGTTCCTTCCACTGACACCAACGGTGGGGCACTGTTCCTTCCACTGACACCAACGGTGGGGCACTATTCCACCACCTCCTTCTAATCAATAACATTATTTAATTTTTTTACTCCTACTGTCAACCAAACTGAGGCATTGGCACTCCTTCTGAGACTGGGGCATTTTCTACTTCCAAAGTCCACTCCCCAAAAAATCTGAAGGACACTAAACTGGCCCTTTTGTTTAGAGAGTTTGGAGACCCCTGATCTAGAGCAGCCTTTCACAACCAGGGTTCCCCCAGAGAGGTTACTATGGGTTCCTTGAGCTGATTCTTTGCACTGACTATAAGTATAATGGGAATTCTTATTGGCCGCCACTATAATGAGGCCCTTCTCCTAATCCTAATGGCCTCCAATGTGAAGTGGTCCTTCTTTCACGGGCCACCAATTAAAGGAGCATTGCTCCACTAACCATCAGTGTGAGGTAACACTACGATTATTAACTGTCTGTAATTACCATCAAAGAAATGTAATTTTATTTTCATTTATTATTTTTGAAAGTAATGTCCTATAGAGTAGCCCTTGGTATTAAATATACTAAATACACCACATTCCTTATTCATTTTTTTTAATTTTTAGATTTCAACTTTTTACTTGCTGTATATAACACAGTATGGAGTTGTGGACATATTAGTAGGGTATCCCTGAGATCTGAAAGTTATTTCCAGGGTTCTTAGTGTCAGGTTGATAAAAGGCTGGCCTACAGAACAGTAAGGATCGTCCGTCATCACATTAAAGTGTAAACTAAAGTCTCCATACTTACCTGTCCAGTGGTCCAGCATCTTCTGAGTCACCAAACATCCACTATCTCCGGCGCTCAAGGACTCAGATCGAACGAACGAACGTTAATAACAGCGTGTTCATCCACTGGTGATCAAAGGTTGTGCAGCTCTATCATGAAGCTGGGGAAGCTTGAACTGTAGAAGGGGATAAAAGAAAGATCGCACAAACCTTGCGCATTACCTCAATAAACAATGAATTATTTTATTTTATTTAGGAAATATACTCACAAGAGTAGCGGTAAAACAGGCATAAATTAACAAAAATCCCCACAGGGTTACAGGTCAATCCAAAGGGGGGGGGGGGATAAAACTAACGCGTTTCGAAGGGTGCTCCCTTCTTCATCAGAGCAGGGTTTGACTAAACAGGCTGAAATGCTGACACTCAGTGGCTGAATGTCTTCTTGCTATGGGAAGTCTCTATCTTTCAAACCCAGCTCTGATGAAGAAGGGAGCACCCTTCGAAACGCGTTAGTTTTATTTTTATCTCCCCTTAGGATTGACCTGTAACCCTGTGGGGATTTTTGTTAATTTATGCCTGTTTTACCGCTACTCTTGTGAATATATTTCCTAAATAAAATAAAATGATTCATTGTTTATTGAGGTAATGCGCACGGTTTGTGCGCTCTTACTTTTATCCCCTTCTACATCTTCTTGTGAGTGTCAGTCTTCTGGCCTCTTCATTGGCCAGAGGGGGATGACGTCACTGTTCATGCGCAGCAGGACCCATCATCTAAGCACTCGCAGACCAGCCCGCCACTGTAAGCTGAGCTGCGCATGCGCAATGCTGGAGGAGAAGGTGAGCAGGCAGGTAGGGGCATTTTATTGCAAAAGAGACATTGCATGTCTTTTCTGTGTTAAAAGCCTGCCTTTTTTTACAATGGGACTTTAGTTTCTCTTTGAAGAGCAAATAGGGGTGGAGGCAAAACTCAAATTTTTCAGTAAACTTAATCGTACATATCTTCAGCTCTTTATCTCTGGATCTAAATATTTTGAAATGCAGTCCTAACTGAAGGCCGACCTCTGCTTATGGAATTTTATGTCCTCATGGGAATCGCCTGGTTTAGGACCGGTTTACTATTTGGAAGTAAAGTACAATGTAAAGATGGCTGTTAAAACAATTTTAGGTGATAAAAACTTAAAGCTGGTGTTGCGTTGTTTCCATAGGTCAGGTGATTTGCCCGTCCAGTGGTGGCACGCCAGATGCAGTCGGAGATAAAAGTGCCGCCGCACAACAGGAGCTGAGTAATGCTCAAAAGTCCATGTTGGTGATGAGCGGAGGAGAGGGGTACATCGATTTTAGGATGGGTAAGAGACTGATTACAGCGCTATTGTAAAATGGCGAAATTATGTTGAAAAGATCAATTTTTAGTGGCTTCTGCTAAAGGTTATCGAGTACAACACTAAATGGGGATGCAGTGTTTTTTAAAGCCACGATTGACCCTTTTAGTGTGACAATACCTAAAATGGTCCCCATCAGTACATCTGGGCCGGGTCCTGCCAAATTCTCTCAAAGTTCTTATTTGGCTCAAAAATGTTTTCTTTCATTAGCTTGCTGCATCAAATTAGGTCTAAGCACTATATTTGAGTGCGCCATTATTCCTAAAAGAGACAGACCCCATTTGTACTGATGTTTGTGTGTAGAGAGGATAGTACCTCCTGCACAAGTTCCTCCGTTTTAAAGGAAACGTGAATAATTACCTTCTGACGAGATAAAGGTCCAAATTATATTTATTGTTGTATATGGGGAATACAGTATCCGGCCTCCTTGTATCTCGCTCTTCATGTATCCCACTCTTCATTGAGTCTGTCTCTGCTTATATAGCCATTCTTATCAAATAGAGACAGATCACATTAATCGACCACATTGGAAGGCACACAGCCCTCCTAGAATGTCGCACAGCCCTCCTAGAATGTCGCACAGCCCTCCTAGAATGTCGCACAGCCCTCCTAGAATATCGCCCAGCCCTCCTAGAATATCGCCCAGCCCTCCTAGAATATCGCCCAGCCCTCCTAGAATGTCGCACGCCCCTCCTAGAATGTCGCACGCCCCTCCTAGAATGTCGCACGCCCCTCCTAGAATGTCGCACGCCCCTCCTAGAATGTCGCACGCCCCTCCTAGAATGTCGCACAGCCCTCCTAGAATGTCGCACAGCCCTCCTAGAATGTCGCACAGCCCTCCTAGAATGTCGCACGCCCCTCCTAGAATATCGCACCGTTCCTAGAATATCGCACACCCCTCCTAGAATATCGCACACACGCCTCCTAGAATATCACGGCCAATGACACTATGACAGTATATGTGTTTTGCAATGAACAACTCTAAAATGTATGAAGTTATAAAAACATTTCCAAAATTTGGTATACTTGCCAGGAAGTTGAATCTAATCAGAAAGTGCACTGGTGGGGACTTCAGCAGATATAAGATTGCATCAGAGTCCCCGCGGCTATTGCTTAGCCTAATTATGGTGTTGCATTCCCTTCATGGAACACAATGTAGAATAAATATGTAACAGATCAGAGAGTGACTCCCCATTGTGGGCAGAGCGGAGACCCAAACTACTGCAGAGAAGTTGCACCATTGTGGGAGGGGCAGAGACCCAAACTACTGTGCGCAAATCTCCCCATTGTTGGAGGGGAAAAGACACAAACTACTGCAGGGAGATCTCCCCATTGTGGGAGGGGCAGAGACACAAACTACTGCAGGAAATCGCACCCTTGTGGGAGGGGCAGAGACCCAAACTACTGCAGGAAATACGCACCATTGTGGGAGGGGCAGAGACAAACTACTGCAATAAATCTGGTCATTGTGGGAGGGGCAGAGACACAAACTACTGCAGGGAGATCTCACCATTGTGGGAGGGGGGGCAGAGACAAACTACTGCAATAAATCTGGTCATTGCGGGAGGGGCAGAGACACAAACTACTGCAGGGAGATCTCACCATTGTGGGAGGGGCAGAGACAAACTACTGCAATGAATCTGGTCATTGTGGGAGGGGCAGAGACACAAACTACTGCAGGGAGATCTTACCACAGTGCAGGAGGGGAAGAGACAAACTACTGCAATAAATTGTGTCATTGTGAGAGGGGCAGAGACACAAGCTGCTGCAGGGAGATCTTACCACAGTGGGAGGAGCAGAGACACAAGCTACTGCAGGGATATACCAGCATTGTGGGAGGGGCAGAGACACAAGCTACTGCAGGGAAATCCACATTGTGGGAGGAGCATAGACTGGCTACTGCAGGGAAACCTCACCATTGTGGGAGGGGTGGAGACTCTATTACAGGGAAAATGTACCAATATTGGAGAGGCGGAGACCGACTACAGGGATATCCCACCATTGTGGGAGGGGCAAAGACAGAAGCTACTGCAATAAATCTCATCGTGGGAAGGGCAGACACAAACTAATGCAGGAAGATCTCACTATTGTGACAGAGGGGCAAAGACACAAACTACTGCAAGGAAAGTTCACCATTGGCATAGGAACAGGAAGACAAACCTCTGAGGGAAATCTCCCCTTTGTGGAAGAGGCAGCGACACAGCCTACTGCAGAGAAATCTCTTCACTGTGGGAGGGGTGGAGATCCTTGGGGCACTTCAGGGTTAGTTGAACCTTACAAATTTATCTCTATAGCCAAATTTGTTTTGTCAACCATATCCAAAGATTGGTGTTCGGTTGGCTGAAGCAATTTTCAGGTCAAATATATTCTCCCCAGGCACTGTCAGTAAAGGTGATTGGTATATCCTTTTTTCTACTAATATGAAGCAGTAAATTCATGTTCAGATTGAATTTCATGTTTTCCCCCACAGGCGATGATGGAACCGACTCTGAAAATCTAGATGAATCTCTACCATTCGATCCCTCCATGGCCAAAGTGGAGAGAAGCCACCTCATCGTCTGGCAGGTTATGTGCAATGGCAGCAGCGAGTGAAGGAGACTGGCGTCGGAATGCTGAAGGACTTTTTTTTTGCATGATGTATTTTTCCATCTTCTTTTCTACTCTGAATTATTTTATCAAATATTTTAACATTACGACTGTATGTATATACGACCTTCACAAACCTAATGAAATGCATCATTCTGGCACAGGAACTTGTGCGTTTTCGGGGCGTGGATTTCGAGCGGACACTTCAGCCATCTTTTGTTTTTTAATTTGCACTGCGGTTTCTGATTCTTGGCATTCAATGCCTGCTGAACACCCCTTACTAACAATAACAAGCTCCGTCATTGTGCACTTTGTACAGATTCGCCATCTCTCAGTTAGAACATATCCATGGCGGGACGTCTGCTCCTGAATTAAACTTTCTGAAAACCGAAATGGTGGCATGAAGTTAGTGGCTTTCATGATCCATATTGGTTGAGTATTGGGAAAAAAAAAACTCTCCTACTGTAACAGTTCTGGCTGTATGAATTCCATTTTCTTTTCTTCTCCAAGCTATTTTTTTTGCTGTGTTTTTTTCACAGTAGGAGTAAAAGTTGTAATCACATTTTGTGTTTATTCCCCGAAAAAAGAATGGCATATGTAACTAGTGGACCAAACTTGATTTACAACAGTTGAGGTATAATGGGGATCAGTTGGCTGTACGGAGAGAGCTCACCACCTGTGCTCTGGATACAATGGTTGTCTGTGAAGCTCATCAGACAATAATGGTTCATTGATGGAATGTTGGTTGTGCATGTTCAAATCCTAAATGTGTCTTATGAATGGTTGTACCCAGGCTGCTCTGACGTTCATGGATGGAAGGCGAGCGCAAGTGCAAGAACATACGAGCGTTAACATGTTCCTCATTTTATAACCGTTCGGCTTTGCAGCTTTTTTAAATTGCATTTTAATATTGCTGTGAAGATTTTTTTAAAGTAAGTTTTTAAAAACCTATATTTGTACATTTCGGTTTCATCTGCAATTTCATATTTGATGAGACTGATGCAGTCTGTTCTCTTTACGGCTTGCAGGGCGCTTGTAACCTATAGAGAGTGAGGTTTGTTTTTTGGTTTTTTTTTATTTAATAGACTAAAAAGTGTTTAATTCACCCATCTGGGCTGTAAATGTATAGACGGAGCTGCTGGAGCAGAAAATATATTTGTCTGTTTTTTTTATCCGGGCAGCTTTGCCCCATTTAGAGAACAGAGCAAAGCAGCAGGTTTACTTTAATGGCTGCAGATGAGAAATCCCCAAAACTTCCAGGTAGGATTGCACAGATACTGATATCGGTGCCGATACCAAGCAATTTGCACTTGCCGATACTAAGCATTGTACTTGCACTCCTGCAAATGCTCCGATACCTAAAAACAATACCTTTTGCGGTGTGATTTGAGCCCATACAAAATAGATGAGCTCAATTTGCACTGCAAGGAACCGCATGTGATTTGAACAGGTATGCAGTGCGATTGCTGTCCAAATCCTCTCCTGTATGAATCCAGGCTTGTCATAGTATCGGTGCTCGTACTCACTGGTAAAAAAAAAAAAAACGGTATTGGTGCATCCCTACTTCCAGGTATAGGACAGCATGTGACCCGTTCCTCCCACTAGTGATTTGGGGAGAAGAGGGAGTCACCATGTGTAAGCTTCAGGCTATGACGTAGGTCAGACTTGGGGATTCCTCTCTTCCCTCCAAGGTGGCAAACAGAGCGGCGAGGGGGAGGCAGATCTAAAAAGCTATTAAAGGGACCATGTTGCTTTGCCCTGTATAGTTAAAGCACAGGTTCACTTTAAGTATAGAATATGGAAAGGACACTTGCCACCGGCAGCAGCCAGAATACACAAAGTGCTCAACAACTACCAGAAACCTAAAACAAAGCTCCATTATTCAAATTTTTACAATGAAAGCTGTAAACTCCAGTAAATGTTCATTTAAATGTACTCAGTAGCCAAAAAGGATACAAATCCATTTTCTGTGCACCATGTGTTTTTGCAAACTCAGATATTGCCTTGTAAAAGCAGCAGTGACATAATCACTGTGCTGTGCAGAGAGCAGAGCTGTGGGAGGGACCCAGCAGACATCACCCACTATAGGCTACCTGCAGAAAACTACAGGGGGGGGGGGGGGGGGCGGAGACCAGACCAGTCACCCTGCACAAGGGGAGAGAGCACAGAGCTGTGGGAGGGACCCAGCAGACACCACCCACTATAGGCTGCCTGTAGAAAACTACAGGAGGGGGCGGAGACCAGACCAGTCACCCTGTACAAGAAGAGAGAGCAGAGCTGTGGGAGGGACCCAGCAGACACCACCCAATATAGGCTGCCTGCAGAAAACTACAAGAAGGGGGTGGAGACCAGACCAGTCATCCTGCACAAGAAGAGAGAGAGCAGAGCTGTGGGAGGGACCCAGCAGACACCACCCACTATAGGCTGCCTGCAGAAAACTACAGGAGGGGGGTGGAGACCAGACCAGTCATCCTGCACAAGGAGAGAGAGCAGAGCTGTGGGAGGGACCTGGCAGACACCACCCACTATAGGCTGCCTGCAGAAAACTACAGGAGAGGGCGGAGACCAGACCAATCTCCCTGCACAAAGGGAGAGAGCAGGAGTGACCGGTCTTTATTACAGGAAGCTCCTGCACAGAGAGAGAATTTTGTGCCGGACTCTAATATCAGGAAGAAATACACAAAGCACACCAAGATTCAAGTAAGAACACACATGACTCTTGTATTTAGATAATATTTGCTTTGCTTGGTGTTCAACTAGAACTCAACTTTAGAGGTCACTAATAGTAACGATAAATATCGCTGTAGTTTCTAAAATTTTGCGGCCTAAACGCTAAACATGTTTCTATTATTGTCTATTTACCTGAGGTCCGTTTTTGTTGCCCGTTTCCTGGAGTATTCTCGTGAGGATGCACTAGAATTAACAAAATGTTAAATCTTGGTAAGGCATGGGGGGAGGGGGAGCAGTCTGCTTATTTGATGTTTTTTTTTTTTTCTTTCTAAAGATCTGTCCTGCGTCACCTGCTTTATATGATGGTTTTACAATATAATGTACTCTCTCCACCTCCAGTCTAGGGGTGATGAATGCAAATCTTCATGTCTGTAGCTTTAAACAAGCTACAAAGTCTATTGCAGGCCATAGACGTGGCGAAAACCAGGCTTTTTTTTTTTTTTTGTTTAAATGAAAAATCGGTCGTTTAATCGGCCGACATTACCACCAACGGTAAAAAAAATCGGCGATTCGGCAAATATAATAGCGGAGTAATTACTTCTGTCCCTGCTGAGAGCTCCGCTATTATATTTGACATTTGTAAGTCTTGCAGTTGCAACATTGTATCTATTTGTATCCATTTCAGATACAGATTTTATTCGGATACAAATAGATACAATGTTGCAACCACTATACTTTCAAATGTCAAATATAATAGCGGACTGGAATTCTTTTTCCTTTTCTTTTTCTTATTTTTCTTCTTCTTGCAGGTCACGGCAGTTTTTTTTATCGGTAAAAAGATTGGCCAATTTGCCTATCTTTGCCACGAAAATCGGATGATTTTTTTTCTTTTCCAACTTTACCGATAAAAAAAAAAAAAAGTGTCAAAATCATGAAAAAACGGCCGACCTATTAACCCACTAACGATCCGAAAATCGCCCGCTTTTCGACCGATCTATGGCCTGCATATGGGACACAGTCCCTACAGATGCTTAGTAAATTCCTGCGACAACCTCACCAATCTGACATGATTTAAAGCCTGTGTGTGTACTCCATGTCCCGGGAATTATTGCGGCCAGTTCTGCAAACCTATACTGCCATGTGCAGCCGTCTGTGAGATCACATCGGTCTTTTGGACAGTCATGAAATTTATCAAGTTTTTAAATATGTTTTCCTGCTTTTTCTTAATGCGCTGATTTTCTCTTCGGTGATACAAATATGCTGCTTTGTCTAATGCAGGCCATAGACTGTTCGTTTATCGGCTGATTTTTTCGTCCGAAAAACGAAACATCATTCGTTCTGTAATCCGATGGTGCCACCAAGATTTCAAAAATCGGCCGTTTTTCACGAATTTTCCAGCATGACCGATAAACGAAATGAGAAGGAACCGCGAAAATCAGCCGATGCCATTGCCCTGCTAACAGTGCAAAAATCAGACGATTATTCTTGTGGACGAAAAATCGTCCGATAAGCGAACCCTCTATGGCCTGCGTAAGTCTCCATGCACACGGGATGTTTTGATAACTCTGGTAACGTTAGCTGTGTGAAGTCACGTTGCGTTCAGCTTTTTTTTTTTTGTTTAGCGGCGTTTTCCTGCATTTGTCCGAGTTTGTGTTCTTTTAGCGGTTTTTAGGGTTTTTTTTTTTGACCAAAAAAAGTCCAAAAACAACGTTTTGCCGCGTTATCGCGTTTTTACAGCTAAAAACCTCCTCTAGAAACCCACTAGTCCTGAGTTTTTTCCAGCCAAAAAAAAACGTTCCTGGCAATAAACGTCAATTCCAGTCTGTGTGTGTATGGACACATAGGATAACATGCTGGGGGGTTTACTGGCTGTAGAAAAAACCATCAAAAGCCAAAAACAGCCGCTGTAAAAATGTCCCGTGTGTGTGAGGGCTAATAGGTGGATAACTCAGCAAATACCAGGCCAACCGCAGTCATCTCTATGTATTGGACTGCTTAGCATAAAGCTGAACTCCGGCCTTCCCTTCAGTCTTGCACAGTTGTACCTGCTCCTTTTCTGTAAATTAAATGGCTTCCTCTGGTTTCACTGCACACTGTGAGCTTCTCACAATGTGCATTAGAAGCTGCTGCAAGTCCTGTCTGGAAGCCGGGCCTTTCCTCTCCAGCCTGACTGTCGCAGGCCCACCTCCTTTATTTCATGGATTTCAGTTCTTTCCATCATGGAGGCTCGGCGGCACATGTGGGCAGTACCAGGACAAGGTCATCCAGCGCCCAGGGCAAAGATTCCAAACTACACCCTCCCATTCATGCAAGGAGATCCTATGCCCAGGGATCACTTACTTGTCGCCGTCACTTCTGCTATCACTACTCCTGTTAGCCTTGTGACAGAAGGCAGGAGCCCCCCCCCCCAGAGCGGCCTCCTCTCCCACCCACCCAGGGGCGGACTGACCATTTTGGAAACTGCCCAAGGCCCCGGGGTCAGTTGCCCCTGGTACCTTTTTCATAGGCTTTTTTGAGTTTGGGCGAGGACACGGGCCCCATGAGTTGTCAGTGCGCCCACCCCTTGGCCCTGCATGTGGTCATCTGCCTAGGAACGCCCACTCCTCCAGACTAATAGCCACTCATTAAAGCAATTGATATTTGCATAACTCCTTCCAAGAACTAGCCCACTGCTTGCATGACTACTAAAGCAGGGTACTGTGATGTTTTTAGGAAGCTATATATAGCACCCTGCCAGCCCCTTCCACCAGCCATGATTTGCCTGCATTGCTTAGAGAGGCACAGAGATCCAGTGATTACATTGTTGGGTCTCAAAAAAGATGTGTAATGAAAAAAAGTTTTTATGTAAAAATGTCTATAGTATGTGGATTGTGCGGGGGGGGGGGGGGTGGGGTGGGGGGGGGGGGGGGGGGGGTCGGGGTGCTACGGAAGGCAAAATATGAGCAAATTAAACTTCAGCTCTAATTGCAAAAGCTTGCAACCCAAATGCGGCGACTGATAAACCGCCGATGTGTAAAGGTTCCACATATTTATTGTATAAGTTATTTAAAATATTAAAAAAGAAGCTTTGCATTTTACCTCGCTGAGCCTTAACCACGATCGCTATATATCTTCATTTTCACGTATTTGCAATTCTTTTTGGCATTTGGAAATCCTATGAGCAAAGCTTGTGCCATTCAATGGACAGAATTATTTGTCGGTGTGATTCAAGGAACTTTTCTGCATGCATTCTAGTACAGGAAAATGCCTCCCCAAATCTTTAGTTTTGTAGAACACCGAATTTTGTGCTACAGATAAAATTGATAGAATTATTATTATACATATATTTGTAATGTACAGCGCTGAGCGAACTATTGGCGCTTTATAAATACTGTATAATAATAATACAGGACTTGTATAGCGCCGACAGTTTGCTCAGCGCTTTACATTATGGAGGGAGACAGTACAGTAACAATACAGTTCAATACAAGAGGGATTAGAGGGCCCTGATCCTGGGAGCTTACAATCTAGGAGGGAGGGGCTAGTGGTACAAGAGGTAATTAGCTGTGGGGGATGGAGTGGTAGTAAGAGTAGAAGATTCCAGTATTAGCTGGGGTCGGGGTAGGCTTCCCTGAAGAGATGGGTTTTCAGAGTGCGCCTAAAAGTGAGCAGAGTAGGCGATAGCCTGATAGATTGGAGTAGGGAGTTCCAGAGGATGGGTGAAGCCCTTGAGAAATCCTGGAGATGGGCATGGGAGGAGGAGATAGAATTAGCTTGTGTGTTTTTTTTGTTTGTTTTTTTTCTTCAGTATTATTCTCCAGATATTCTGGTTTGAGACGATTGTAAAAATCCCTGGACAGAATTCTGGACTGTTCCTCCGCTTAGATTTCAGAACAAAACCGTGTACCACAAACATGCTGTTTCAGAAAAGTGTTGTCTGCCACTTACTAGCACTTTATATTTTTAACCTATTCTATGATTGTTAAAATAACTGATACCTTTTTTTTTTTAGTGTGCGTAGTTCAATGCCATTTCTCAGACCTTTGTTTTTTGGGGGATTTTTTCGAGACCACTTATTGTTACCCATTTAATTTTTTTTTTTTTTTTTTACTGAAAAATTAAGGATTTAATTTTAAAAAAAGCTTGTTGGTTAAACAGTCATGTGAAAAAGTACCCTTCAGGGAAATCTGACTTTTTCAACATACATAAACAGGTAAACCAATATTTAAACAGTTCACACAGATAAAGATGATATACGTTAATAAAAAGACGGAAGATTTGCAGTTTCAGTATTTAACAAAAATATTAATAGTTGCAATTGTGAACTGTGGAAAAAGCAAGTTCACCATTGGCCTCAGATGCTGCTGTTTAGCATGAATTCTGTTTTGTAGGAGTTTCCGTAAATCATTCTCTGGTCATAGAAGTGTTTGCCCACTTAAAGATTAATTCCAGGAAGTCAGCAACTTTGCCAAAAGTGCAGGCACACTATGGGTTAAGTCCAATTAGGTGCATGTCACCTCCAGGACTTATCTCTATTATTTATATGTCACAGATTTATTGCATTCCCAGAAGATACACTTGGGATCTACATAGTTACAGTCGGGCTGAAAAAAAAACAAAAGTCCATCCAGTTCAACCATTAAAAAAAAAAAAAGTTATAATCCTACACCCACAGTTGATTCTAGAGGAAGGCAAAAAAAACCCAGCAAAGCATGATCCAATTTGCTCCTGCTGGGAAAAAAATGTCTTCCTGATCCCCCGAGAGGCAATTGGACATTTCCTGGATCACTTTACCTATAAATGTTATATCCAGTTATATTCTGTGTATCCAAGAAACAATCCAGGACTTTTTTAAAGCAATCCACGGAGCTGGCCAGAACCAACTCTTGAGGGAGTCTCCGTTTTTGGAGATTAAATTTCTTTTCCTCCAGACTTAAAGAGCGCCCCCTTGTCCTCTGTGATGACCTCACACCTCAGGGTGAATAGCTCTACACCGAGTTCATGATATGAACCACTGATGTATTATACATGGAGATCATGGGATCTGAGAGGAGAGAAGCACACAGAGCAGCTATGCCTGCCCCTCCCATCTGCTGGCCATTCATAGAAGCCTTTGTATTTTGTAAAAAAAATTTACTTAATACAAAGGCTTCTGTGAGTGGGCAGAAGGTGGGGAGGGGCGGGCATAGCAGTCCCGACAATTCTGCTATTGATGGACCTGAGACTAGGGTGAGCAGCTTTGGAGCTCCAGAAGTTCTCTTCCTGAAGCACAATAAACCTCTCAGATGTGAATACCAGAAATAGGTCTACATCTACAATGTGGCAGGCACCTCATTAGACTTAACTGAAGTTCCTTCACTTTCAAGATGTATGTTGGTTTCTTTGTATGGACTTCATGTTTCATATTCCCTCTCCCATAAGATTTCAACAGGATTTATGTCAGGGCATTGATTAAAGTCAGTCTGTAACCCTTTATTCTTTTTGAATCTTAGAGGATTTGCTGTGCACTTTGGATCATTATCATGTTGAAAGATCCCTTTCCACCAAGTACACATGGATGTGGTCATTGTTAATTTGATGACTGCAAGCTGCCATGAAGCAACCCAAAATAGTAACATTTCCACCACCATGCTTCACAATCAGTATGTGGTTCTTCTGAAAGTGTTTTTCGGTCAAATGCAAGTATAGACATGTTTGGTCACAAAAAAATGTAGACTTGTTTGGTACAAACCAATGACAGCATTGCTTTGTTCAAACAACTCTTTATCTTTGATTCATCAGTCCACAGCACATTGTTCCAGAATGCCTGGTCTTTTGCCTATATGTTTCTTGACAAGTTGTATTATTTCTTTAATGTTTTTTTGTAAGCAAAGTGTCTTTCCTGACACACCTCCCAGGGAGGCTAAATTGGTGCAGCCTACTAGTTCCCTACAGATCCCACTCTGTAAGTTTCAGGTTCTTCAAGATTTATGTTTAGAATCAAGTAGTCAGCTCTTGGGCTGAATTTGCTGGGCCCAGCCAGTCCTGGAAATATTAGAAATATTTGATATCAGCACAGCTTGTAGATTATGTTCCTACAAATACTTTGGCGATCTTTTTAAATCACTTGCCAAGGTCAAAGGCATCCACAACTTTTTTTTCTGAAAGCCTTAGAGAGCTCTATTGATCTTGGCATGATGACACCACACACATCAATAGCAAAGAGGACACCACACACATCAATAGCAAAGAGGACACCACACACATCAATAGCAAAGAGGACACCACACACATCAATAGCAAAGAGGACACCACACACATCAATAGCAAAGAGGACACCACACACATCAATAGCAAAGAGGACACCACACACATCAATAGCAAAGAGGACACCACACACATCAATAGCAAAGAGGACACCACACACATCAATAGCAAAGAGGACACCACACACATCAATAGCAAAGAGGACACCACACACATCAATAGCAAAGAGGACACCACACACATCAATAGCAAAGAGGACACCACACACATCAATAGCAAAGAGGACACCACACACATCCATAGCAAAGAGGACACCACAGACATCCATAGCAAAGAGGACACCACACACATCAATAGCAAAGAGCACACCACAGACATGCATAGCAAAGAGGACACCACAGACATCCATAGCAAAGAGGACACCACAGACATCCATAGCAAAGAGAACACCACAGACATCCATAGCAAAGAGGACACCACAGACATCCATAGCAAAGAGGACACCACAGACATCCATAGCAAAGAGGACACCACAGACATCCATAGCAAAGAGGACACCACAGACATCCATAGCAAAGAGGACACCACAGACATCCATAGCAAAGAGGACACCACACACATCCATAGCAAAGAGGACACCACACACATCCATAGCAAAGAGGACACCACACACATCCATAGCAAAGAGGACACCACACACATCCATAGCAAAGAGGACACCACACACATCCATAGCAAAGAGGACACCACACACATCCATAGCAAAGAGGACACCACAGACATCCATAGCAATGAGGACACCACACACATCAATAGCAATGAGGACACCACACACATCAATAGCAATGAGGACACCACACACCTCAATAGCAATGAGGACACCACACACCTCAATAGCAATGAGGACACCACACACCTCAATAGCAATGAGGACACCACACACCTCAATAGCAATGAGGACACCACACACCTCAATAGCAATGAGGACACCACACACCTCAATAGCAATGAGGACACCACACACATCAATAGCAATGAGGACACCACACACATCAATAGCAAGGAGAACATCCGATCTGAGGTTTAAATAAGACTGGCTCCACCTGCATGCTCCTTATGGCAGTTCTAATCACTGGCACCTAATCCGGAACTCGTGATTCAAATTTTTGGGGATTTAGAGTGGTGGTAAACATAGGGCTATGCTGAAATTTTTCAAATGACGATTCCATATTTTCATTTAGATTATGAGAACAATTTGTCATTTGTTCAAGTATATCACTTTAACTGTAGGCACTACTTGAATAGAGATCTAATGTCACCTATATTGAAAAAGTCAATTTCCATGGAATGTACTTACTTTTAAGTTTAAAAGAAAAGAAGGGTAAGCTGCTTTTTTTTTTTTTTTCTTTTTTTTCCCCTTTTTGCAATTCATATAGTTTATTTCTTCAAATCTGATACCCACCATATACTTCTGCCAAAACCTATTGGGTGGATTTTTTTGCACTTTGTTCATATGATAATTGTCCTTTCAGAAGTCAACATGTACATTCTTAAAACTTGAGTCATGCATTGCTGAATTGTATTTTATATAATAGTAAAATAACTTTTATATAAGTTTGAGATACTGTAACACTAACTTGTTTATATACATATATTTCACACGCTAATGTGCTCACAATGTTATTGTACTTATAGACTTATCAGCTATGTTTTTATAAAAAAAAAAAAGATGAACTAATGTATGACATGTTTGGATAGAGAGTTGTATTTTATCTTTAAAGCATCACACATGTACCATAGATGTCTTTTCCATGTGAAGGAAACATCACAACTCCAAAAAAAAAGACCATTCTAGAGTTATTCCATCTTAATTACAAATGTACCAAAGGATTTAATATAACTGAATAAATGGGGCTTTACATCGTATGTTTCTGTTGATAAAAATGGCATTGAGAAGAATGGAAATTGATGCCTTGCAGAAATGGTTTTTATTCCCTGTAAGGAAATTTTTGCTAAAGTTTTTGTCCTTTTGTATTAATTTGTGTTTACAATCTTCTTTTTTTTTTTTTTTTTTTCTTCTTTTCATCTTCTAATCATGTTTTGATTCTGTTTTAATCCTTCATTGCCGTCTTACATTTGGACATTTTCTAAGCTGACTATAGATAGTACATCAATGAAAAGCTGCCTGTTATTTGGAAGAGCTAACTTTGCAAACAGGAAATATAATTTTGTTATGTAGGGATTGGAGTATTTATTTCCATCATTGACCCTCTTCCCCAGGGGGTTTAGAATGTAGCTTTGTACATGGTATATATGTGTGTAAATATATATATAAATATGTATATGAAATGACACGAATTTGAGTCGTTTTTTTTTTTTTTTTTCTTTTTTTTTTTTTTTTTTCAATTCGCTTTTCTTCATAATTTTTGTACCATATCATTCACAAAAATACAACTCACCGCTCTTTACCTAAAGTCCCATTTGGGTTAGTAGAAGTATCTGCTCTCCTGTTAGCCAAGAAAATATCCAAATCATCCATAAAAGTCGGCAATCAAAAAGATCACAAACATGTAAGAAGCTTTATTAATATGTTGGGTTAAAATCCATAATCCTACATATTATAAAGCTTCTTACATGTTTGAGATCCTATCAAGTGTAGACGTTTCTGGATGGTTTGAGTATATCATTAACAACCTTTGATTTTAATATTGCATCTACCCCAGGCACTGGGCTTCCACTGCATGTTGAAGTATCCACTGAAGCGAATGAAATAGTGAAGCCCAAACATGACATGTTTTTAGCTCAAGTCAACAGAATGCAAAGCCGGTCAAGGTAGCCAACTTAGTACACCCTTTCAGACTTGGGGATGTTGTGTTCTTTCTTGGATGTACAGGACACCGTTTGCTTTCTTTCTTGGGTTATACGATTCTACCAGGAGATTACACTGCCAAAAAGAGAGCTGCAGTGGCATCACCCATATATCTCCTCCCAATCCTAGTCAGCCCCAGTTTTTTGCTATTGCTAGTGCACTTAGGTGATTGATATCTTCTCTCTACTGGGGGAAGCTTGCCACTTTGTGTGGATTTTTCTATCAAGTTCCTAATGGCACTATATATTGCCTGCAGAGGATTGTACCTGGAGCCCACTTGGATGAACATGTGGGGAGAGCTTATAATGTGGCACTGGATCCTGAGGATCCTGAATGAGCGCTCACTTTGGCACATGGTGCATTGCATTGAGCCAGCTGCAGGGCACACTATATGGGTCTAGGGCAGTAGTTTGCCTACGGTGGGGCCATGTCCCTGAAGACTGATTTAGCAGTATGCCAATTGAGGGTGAAGTCAGGAATGGAGCTGGTCTTCTGCATCCTGCTCCTGGAAGAGAATGATATTATGGGATGCGTAGTCTACAGCCCTTCCCCTGGTCCCAATGTGCTATGCTCTTACCCCCGGGGGCTAATGGAGTGATGATTGCAAAACTTTGTGTGTCACAGCCATAGGCAAAAGTGCTATGGTTCAGACGCATATTTTGTCTATTGGCACCATATTTACTGTTCAGTACATTAAGCTGTAGAGATATATGTAGACCCTCACCGTGCCACATCCAATAAATAGTACAAAAAACTTAGGAACATATGTTCCATTGGAAAAAGGCAGATTTTTTATTGGCATAACATGACGCAACTTTATAAAATTTTATTTCCACATAATTAAAAATAAAAAGATAAAATTAATACAACATAATACAAATCAATACAACACCATCTTAATGATGACAAAACGCCCAACCCTGACATGGAGTGCTGAAATTAGGCATACTTTGCCATATACCAAACATAACATCATTGTATTTCTCTGGATAGTACCACCAGCATCTCCATGCTCAAGTTGTCAATGCATTTCGCCAACTTTTTTCTTGCTTCTTCAGGACATGTTGGGTAAGTGTGGCCGTAACTTGTAGAGCAAGGGTGTCAAACTGGTGACCCTCCAGCTGTTGCGAAACTACAAGTCCCATCATGCCTCTGCTTTTGGGAATCATGCTGGTAACTGTCCATCTTGCAATGCCTCCATATGAGGGCCCTTCTGGCTTCTGTGGCTATAATATAATGCCTACTGCATGTTCCCATATTCTTGGTGTTTCCTGGGTCTCTTTGCTGGAGGCTTGTTGTCTTTTTCCCAGTTTGGCTTTTCCTTGTGCCTGTCCAATGTTTCTCAGGTCTTCCCAAAACCACCGCTACCTGTTCTTGCACTGCATTACCAGTGGGATATTGGACAATACTTTTTTGAAGGCATGGTTGACTCAGGCTTAGTCAGCCTACATCCTTCACACAGTGCAGACCCTACTAGAATTCAGGAGGATCCTAATTCCCAAGAACTCCACACAAGAACTGTCTTATCACTTAGAGTACCTGAGCCTGAGCCTAGTCTCAGTTTTTCTGCTTTTAAGAGGTTTTTTTTTTTTTTTTTTTTCATTCATATGGCAAGCTCCAGGCTCTCTTTGCTCCCACATTTGATCTTTGCAGTCCAGGGGAAAACCAACCTGGCATTCTGCTTAAGCGTCTAATAGGGGCCTCTTCGAGGCACTCTCACATGTTCATTTTTGCTTTGGACTTTTACCAGTCATCATTCTGGCAATGTGGGTGTGAGGGTTCATATCTCTGGATCATCCCATTCACCTATCTGACAGGACCAGGCTTGTCCTGGAGTTTGGCGCTGGACATGGACACATTCCATTCTGTTCATTGCTTTGGTTGGTGCTCCCAACAATTGTTAGCCACTAGGGTTAGGAAAGCAGTCCTGAGTTTTAGCTGCCTTCTCAATACGCAGGACTTGGTTGTCAAAAGAAACTCCTCGCCATTCCAGAATCAAGGTGTGCTTTGATTATCCCTTCAACACTGGATCTCTTGTCTGAATAGTCACCCAACATGGATTCTATCAGATTATGCCATGGTGGTGGCTTACATTGATCATGAGGGGAGTAATCATTTGTGTTATGAAGCTGTACCTTGACCTGGGCAGGAATTCTTGCTTGAGCCCTGACTGATAGGTTTTCATGCTAGGAAGACTTCATCATTGGTTAACAGCTGGAATCTAAAGACTAGTTCTCCCCCTTGAGGTGTATAAAACCTCCGTCGTGGGTGGGGTATGCTGAATGGGACCCTTTTTAGCCTTTTGGCTCAGCCATGAACTCCCCTGTCTCTAGAGTCAGGGATCCCCTAGCATTCACAATAGATACTCTGGTGGCTCAGTGGGTTCAGCTCTTTCCAGCCTACATGCTCAGGGCTCAGATAGTGACTTCTTGTTAAGTCTGTCTTTTCTCTTTGATAAACTCTTTGCTTGGTGCAAAACTGGGATTCCTGCCAGGCCAGGCTGTACTTCGTAGGATTGGTCCTAGCTTCTACAGTTGGACTGTTTCAGCACAGGGTCTTTGAACACCATAAATTCTTGGCTTTGGCAGGCCATGCCTCCTACTCCTTGTAAAGGGGGTGGATTGCCTCATTCTGTCTGTATTTTTCTCAGTGATCTGTTGGGGTCTCGTACTGATTTTTGGATGGGTCTTGGGACCACCTCTGGAAATGGACAGGGTTTTTCTGTGCATAGACTTATCCACATAATTGTCTTTTCGTTGCCACCGTTTCAGCACTGCAAGCTTCAAGCTGGCCGTAAGTACAGAACACAGTTGTTTGAGGGCATGGCCATGTTTCTCCCTTAGGGTGTTGTTTCTTCTTTCTTTACCTTAACAAGGACATTGTTCCAAATTCTTTGTCTTGCTGCTATGTATCCTCTGGGAGTATTCCTTACATTGTCTTGGCTGAGTTACACACTGCTTGGTCTAACTATTGAGTCCGTTTTTTTTGTGTAAGGTGTGCTCTGGGTTGCTCCAGTTCTATCAAGCCCTTCCTACACTCTTTGACACATGGGCCTGGTACCATTTAGGTTGCGGTTACCCACCCCATTAGACTGCTTTGGA